CAACAACTTACAAATCTTCAGAAATTAAAACAACACTATTAGTCTTTATGGTGTTCCAGAGTTAGTATATCTACAGTTAAAGTCAGAATTATTAAACCGCCTGAATTATTAGCTGCCCCGTTTATTTTTTCCCCAATTTCTGTTTAATGGAGAGTAGATTTTTTAGCACATTTTTAAACATTATTTTAATAACTCTATTATAATTTTAAATATTCTAATAACTGATTTATTATATCTTTGCCATGATGACAGTAAATAATATTTGACTAGATATTTTCAAGACACTTCTATACAGCTTGAAGTGACGTTTAAAGGCTTAACTAGGTTAATTAGGTTAACTAGGCAGGTTAGGGTAATTAGGAAAGTTATTGTATAACAATGGTTTGTTCTGTGGACTATCAAAAAAAATAGCTTAAAGGGGCTAATAATTTCAACCTGAAAAGGTTTTATAAAAAAATAAAAATAAAAATAAAATAATTAAAAACTGCTTTTATTTTAGCTGAAATAAAACCATTAAGACGTCCTCCAGAAGATAAAATATTAATAGACAAAGTGAAAATTTCCTCTGCTCTGTTAAGCATCATTTGGGAAATATCTTTAAAAAAAAATAATAATAAAAAAAGATAGGGGGCTAATAATTCTGACTTCAACTTTACATTTGGAAAGAATTACAGTGGAGGTGAGTCCAAGAAGCCAGTCAGAAACCAAAAAGGCCTAACATTTTTCTTCCAGAAACAAAGGATAACTTTCTAAGCTATGATCATGCCATACTGAACAGGTAACTGTACATTTAGGTTGAGTGTCTGCAGAAAATCTGACCAGCAAAGAAGTGCCATCACTGGGTCAGGAAGTAAAACACAATCGTAAACCTTAGCAAAGAACTGAAATATTTCCAACCAAAAACTCAGAATTTGAACATAGGACAAAAAAGATGTGCTTAGTACACTCAGCAGCTTTACACTGGTCACATGTGGGGGGAACCGAGGGATAAAATTTACTACTGTAAGCTTTGTTTTAGTATAGTAAAGTCTGTGTAATAATTTGTACTTATAGCAGTTCACAAAATTGCAGTTTTCACCACATTTTTGACTAAATAAATGCATTTATCCTAAATAAATAAATTTAAAAACACACACCCCACACTTTCCAAAACCTGTCAGTTTCTAAAACACACACACACACACACACACACACACACAAACACACACACACACACAAAGCAATTTCTGGAAAGCACCAAAATATTTTCAGCTTGACATTACATTAGATTAACAGTTGGTCTACTTCATGCAGATGTGCACAAATATAATAGCTAATGTGTGTACACACACACACACACACACACACACACACACACACACACACACACACACACACACACACACACACACACACAAATAAAACTAAAAGTAAACATAATGACAACGGTAAAACAAAATCAACAAAATAAATCCTTACCTCGTTAATAAAATTCGTCAACACCTTAAACTGTGCAGGTCCATCTAATAGCCCGTGAACAATTATCACTGGTCTGTACGCCATGATGACTGAGGGCAGCAGCAGTAGCACAGCCCAGATGAAAACACATGGTCTACAGCCGTCAGTCATCGCGACAACACCCTATAACCTGAAATCAAACATTAATGTATTTAATATGTTGAGTATTAATAACTTTAATTAGCCAAAACTATATTATGAACCCAATAAGACAAGACTGACTAACCAAGCCAGACGCTCAACCTGCAGATTTGGGCTTCAGACGCTTTGATACAGCTGTGTTGCTCGCATGTGATGTTTTGTCACTTGAGGTGATGCTTTTATAGGCCGCTTCCTCTTTTGCCCACTTGATGTGGTAAATCAGAAGAAACGCAAGTGAAACGCAAGCATTTCGCATTATTAAAGAGAATATCTCACTGTTTTTTGTTAGTATTGACTAAGAGTGCGCACAAAGACTTCCAACAACTTTATAGACAAATAGCCCACATCGTTTCAATAAATACAATTTTGTTTGTTTGTTTGTTTTGCAAAATATAGATAATTATGTAATTATATATACCTATGGTTTATTCACGTGCTTTACTATGTTTTAACTTCACTAAGTACATGCGGTATAGATAGCTGTGGGGAAAATATGATGATGAGATTGCAAAAAGAACAGAGTGCTCACGCGTACATTTGGACTTTTATTTTGACAGCAATCGGTTTTTTTTATTATTGAAGCATAACTGACAAGCATAGAGGATTATATTGTAACATATGTAACATTCATACAAATAATGATGCAGAAAATACATTAAACAACAATACTATACTAATACAATACTACATTTTATATATATATATATATATATATATATATATATATATATATATATATATATATATATATATATATATATGATAGACTGTAGATCATTTTTTTCATTATTAGAGAGGTTTTATATAGGCTCTTGTGGACGTCTAGGAATTATAAAATATTTTTTAAATCTTTACAGAAAAAATTAAACGAGTGAGAGAAATAGACATTACTTTTGCCTCGTGTAGCAATCGTACATAATCGCGTACCTCAAAATATGTATGATTTAAATCTCATGATTTGGTAGAAACATGACTAAAACATAACTTTCAGAACTAAATACCCAAACGAAACATTTCTAAAATATTTGTAAGTATACCTTTATTATTATCTTTATGTAGTATTATCTTTAAATACCCAACTGATAGTTATTTTAATCAAAAATTGAGAAAATCCCATTGTAAAACCCCAAAGGGAAATTTTGAGCGAACGTTCTGATGTCGTCGTTCATGCCTGTTCCGTCTGCGCTGGAAAAAACTAGCATCGCTCACGTGGTCAGATCTTAGACGACTGTGGAGTCTCTGTTACATTTGAAAAATGTATGCATTGGTTTTTATTTCCTGTTCCCCTCAAAGAATATGACAGTTTTTGGTGCAATCAAAGATTGTGTTATACCTTTAGTCAAGTCTGGCCCCAAAGGTTCTTTATTTATTATTTTATTGTATTTAATTATTTTATTTTTGACAACACAAACCATTTTGTTGAAAAAACTCTTCTCAGTTCTGTCAAACACAGACATTCGCTTGGTTATTAATAATTCTCTCTCTCTCGGATCTCTTTACCTGTTTGCATAAGTTTTTGAAATAATATATTGAAATAATATATTTGATGATTGGCAACAGTTTTGGCTTCATCGGGGGGGGGGGGGGGGGGGTATTTTTATCTAATAAAGCTGTCGAGGTCTCTATCAAAATCATTCATAATTGCTACCCGATAAATACAAAACTAGCTAAATTTGATAACAATATTTCCCCTAAATGCTCCTTTTGTACTCAATATGATGAAACACTAAATCATTTATTTTGGGAGTGCACTTACTGTAAAGTGTTTTGGGTTGACTTTTCCAATTTCATTAAACAATTCTCATTTCCAAACTTTTGTATTTCCCAAAAAAATTGTATTCTTTGGTTACTCTTTGAACTTAGATTCTTCTCAGTGGAAATCTATTACTAATTTATTGTTTTGTTTTGTTGTTTTTTTTGCCAACATTTTACATCCATAAATGTAAATTTTCAAAGAAACACCCCTACTTTTTTGTTTTCAGAAAGGACTTTGATTTACATGTAAACTCTTTAAAAGACTGAAAATTAATTGCATGTAAAACTCTTTCTTGGTGTAAATCATTTAAACTTGTTGAATTTGCTGGAATTTTATTTATGTAACCTTTTTATCTTTGTAATGCTTTCTTGCATAATAATTTTTTTTAAAAATAACATCGTTCGCGTAATTTAAGTCACCAAACTGGATTTTACTTTTCACAATAAGTTATTATTCCATGTCCATAGTATTAAACCAGTTAACAGAAAGCAGACAACAGAAATTCATTAAACATTCTCTGCTCCTTTTGTTCAAAGCTGAACTGCGGCTACATTTTTTTCTTTTTACATGAACATTGAAAATTGTTATGGTTTATCGCCCCCTTCCTTATCTGACCTGCTTTCTGGAGGATCTATTGATTTTTAAGATTTCATTCAACTGATTAAATTCTCAGCAATTATTACTCCAGCTTTGCTACTTTATATAGTTTGGAAATTATCCAATTTTTTTTCAAGGCCCTTTGATGAATGCAAATGCTCAAAAGAACATCATTTAGTGAAATAGACTTTCATGTTATAGTCACTTGAATAAATTAAATGCAATCATTTGTAAACAGCATTAAACTTCTAGTTGCTTTATTACCCCCAAACTTTGAATAGTTTATTAAAAGCATGCAGCTATTCGAAACATCTCAACTTTTAAATAAAGAAAATAAGCCAGCACAATGCCTTTCTGCTTGACTTATAATGAGACATTTGGAGTTGTAAATTGGAGTGGAAATGTGAAACGCCACTATAAAATGAAACAGACATTTTGAATTGCAGCATCCACTAAATACAGAAATTAGGACCACAAAACTACAAACACCTTAAGTTTTCATTACACACCTTTAGTATTTTTCACTTTGTTTGGAGCGAGGTCTGGCTGCAGACCTGGTGCAGTTGGCCTGCATGCAGTGCTTTTTAATGCGCTCACCTATCCTTACCCATCACAGTGACATCACAAGCTCCATTGAGTGCATTGTGCCTGACATTGCATCTCTGAGATATGCAGTCTCAGCTTGCATCATTTTGGCTGCATCCAGATACAATTGGCCTACCTTTGTGTTTTGTCCAAACATGCACTTCTGTTAAAATTCTTCCGCCACATTTACATTGTGTTTTGAATGCAAATGCCACTTTATTAAAAGACAAATAAATAGTGTTGACTTGTGATGCATGTTTAAAAACATGTTATGCAACATCAATTGTTCTAGAGCTTGAACCTTAATAAAAATTCAGATTTTGACCTTTTAAAAATGTAGACCAGTACACTTGCTTGTAAATGAATCAGTTGTGCCTGACTGACATGACAACTTTAAACTGATTTGACACAACCAGTAAACCACTCCATTTCACAATCAATTTATTACCAGGTGTAAAGGAATCTTACATTCTGACAAACAATCTGATGGATCAATAAGAGTACAATCATAATCTAAATCAGAACATGATTGCATTTAGGATTGTTCTTTTGCTTGTGAAGGAAAATGTTTTTTGTTTTCCTTCTGTAGATTACGTGAGCCACTTTTCTATGCATTTCTTGTAGATTTTGTAGTCTGTCGGCCAGGCATCATGGTGAACATCAGGGATGATACACTTCACAATGGCTTTTCGTCGGTTCAGTGTTTTTAGGCCAAAGGAATCACTAATATAATACTGGAGAGAGGGGGAAATTGTTAGGATAAAAATCAACAGCACCAGCAAATAGTATAAATTAAACTAATAAATGGATCTTAAACAAGATGAGAATATTGTAGAGGTCTTAATAATAAATGCTGAGAAGAATACAATGCATTCACTTACATCTTGATGTTCCATATCAATCACCTTTTCATTGCGGTTGTAAAACCCAAACATACTGTGAACACACACAGAGAGAGAGAAAAAAATTATTTAAAAACAAACAAATCCAGCAAGACCTTTATAAAAAAAAAAAAAAAAAAAAAAAAAGATTGACCCTTAAAAACAGTCCTGGCGACCTTTGGCTCACTGCCAGGACAATTAAAACTAATAATAATGAACCATTTAAATCTTTGTTGAAATATTAACCAGAACTGATATTTACAGTATGATTTCTCTTAATAGAAAGATTTAGGGACTTTCAATGATAATTTGGAAAGAGAAGGTCTGGGTTTAAACGTGTGAAAGAGGTTTGGGTAAACTTTGGGTGCTTTTGTAGAGACCTTGATTGCCATGGTTTAATAGTGCCATCATCTGGTCCGCCGAGCAACACCATGGTCTTTATGCGCAGAAAATTTTTGCGCCACGCTGCAAGAGAACAGAGAAACACACACACAAAAATACAAGTCAAGGCAACAGAACTGAAAGTAGATACAAACCCACACAAAAGCAAAAACTGTCATCCGACTTGCACAAACTCCAGCTACAGATAGTCTTAAGACTGGGTCGCCACAAAATTAAAATAGCTAAAACGGCCGCTTCATGTAAGATTGACTTTACTGAAACATAAAAAAAAAACATTTGCAGATATTTAAGAAACATGCCAAGTGAACATACATACAAAAAAAAAAAGAAAAGAAAAGTGTGGTTAGTGTCAGAAAGTCTGTCTTTGTATTGGTCTATAACGAGCCCACTGCCAGTTTATGCACTTATTTTTCTGCACCCCTGGTTGCCCTGTTGCAAAACGCACCACATTTGACTTCAGTTTAAGACTCAAAATGTATACGGCCATGGCCTGAAAACACAGCCTCTGGAGGACAGCAGCAGCCTCCAAAACAAGACATAGATTCAGAGTTATTAAAATCCAGATTAGGTTAAGTAACAAATAACATAAATTACAAATGCAAGCAAGCATGAGCCGAACAGCATACATAATAAAACAGTGTCCTAATAATGCACAAGATTCCAGTAACAAGCTATTTGACAGTCTACACATGATAGAAACATTAAATTCTCCAACAAAATGGTAAGGTTAATAATAAGAGATGGGGGGGGACATTTCGTACCAGAGACGATCATAGTTTGCTGTTTAGCAGTGATAAGTGGAAACCATTTCTAAAAATAGAAATTTCATTTAAAGTTTAGAACAAAAACTGCTTTAACATAGGATGTAGTTACATTGTAGGGTCAATAGTCAGAAACTCTTAGGTTGGTGTTGTCAATTCAGCAATCTGCTTTTGTGTAGCGTTGTCAGAGAAGTGGTTGGGTGAAAAGTGTTATGAATTTGAGCTGCAGTACCTACTTCAGCCACTGGGTGTCAATCTTACACACTGCCCCATTAATACATTTACTCAGGGGTGTCCAAACTCAGTCCTGGAGGGCTGGTGTCCTGCAAATTTTAGCTTCAACTTGCCTCAACAAACCTGCAAGAATGTTTCTAGTAAGCCTAGTAAAAGCTTGATTAGCTAGTCCAGGGGTGTCTGATTGAGGTTGGAACCAATCTTTGCAGGACACCGGCCATCTAGGACAGAGTTTGGGCACCCCTGTATTAACTCAATCGATTTTTAGCGTAAACCAGTTCTTTAATTACCTTGTGTGTGGACGGTTTCTACTTCTCCATTCAGCGGGGCCAGAAAGACGCTGTACTTCAAGTATTTTTCAATTTGATGAGGATCTACAAGACAAAGCAACTGATTCAATGCAATTAAAAAGCAGACTGAGCAATGATCAGGCTGCTACATACCTTTCCAGTAGCTACAGCTTGATATTTGTTGTCCTCGTGTAGTATAACAAGCATTGTACAGTGTTGACTTGACAAACGAAGGGAAAAACTTGCTGATGTAATTTGAATCTGTAAGAGCATGGAGAAAGCACTCATGTATGTGCATGATGTCTCATTTCTTGAATGAGAAGAAATATTGTGGTGTGAACATCACTGACCTCCATACTGGCCAGCTAGTGGTGAAGACAGGAATATCACAGAGTGAACATTGTGATGAGGAAGGGTAGCAAGAACTCCTCGGCATATCAAACCACCTGTGAAAGGAGTTTGGAAGATTTCCATCGCGGTTATATCAAGTCTACTTTAATTAAATAAAATGTACCAAAAAAATATTCTAAAAAAGTTAATCAAAACTGCAATGCAACCATTACGGCCTTCAAAAATATATATATACAAATAAATAAAACAGCCTTCTTGAGTACATGTTGTCATGTTGTAAAATGTCAATAACTATTAAAATTTTTATCTTATTATAATATACAATACATAATCTTATTCCTTTTAAAACTGGAGGCTCTCATGAATAGTGCAGCACTCCTGTACTTCACATGCGGATATTAAAGTTAACCATAAATATGGCTAATTAACTATACATGTGAATTAAATTTTATATTAAGAAGATAAAGGGTTATACTTGAAGTAAATTTTTAACATGCAGCTTATTTACAACCCAAATACAACAAGTATATATAAAAAGAGAACGTTTTGAGTTTCAATGCTTGGGCCCCATACCTTGGAGTGGTTTACGACACTCAAAATCACCAAGTCCACCCCTGTTGGCCATTTTACCTTGTGAGTAGCAGATGAGATGGACGCCGTCTTTAGCTCTATCCATGATGGGTCTGATGGCCTCACGAAATCCATCCACCTGTTCCCACATTGGCTTTGAACTGGCATTGTCGTCATACAGAGATATTGCAGTCACACTGGTACCTGGATGAGACTGAAACAGAAGTTGGAGAGTTTTATTCTAGATGAAAGAGCGATGTAATGTACTGAACAAAGTATTTAAGTTAAGATTTTGATCAAATAAATGCAAATGGACCAAAATATTTCAAGCAAATAAATAAGTAAATAACTCTATAGACCATTTTAGGGATGTAAACAATAGCAATGGTCCTAAAGGGTTTCCTCGATTACATATTTCATTTCCATAGCTTCTGAGAATCCAAAAAGGTCCACATATTAATAAATAATGCCTTGACAGCCGTTTTAACAAAGTAATGGTTGAATTGCATCTTTTTACAGTTACGAAATGGTTTGAAAACGAGCAGGACATGTTCATGTGCCAATAACATGACCACATTGAAATGGTCTATAAACACAATTAAGTCAATTCTGTGTGAGCACCACACAAACGAAATCGTTTTGCACATGCAAGGATGAACAATAAAGGTGAAAAATTGAAGTTAATAATAACAGGGGTGGAAATAAATACGAGATTCTTACCCGTTTAATATATTTCTTTAACATCTCCATTTGTTCAGGTCCACCAAACAGCCCGTGAACAAGAATCACTGGCCTGTACGCCATGATGACTGTGGGCAGCAGCAGCAACACAGCCCAGATGAAAACACATGGTCTACTGCTGTCAGTCATCGCCACAACAGCCTATAACATGAAATCAAACATTTATATGTTTATTGTATATGTTTAACTGATCAAAATATATATAAGGCATCCAAATAGACAAGACTGACCTTATAAGACGCTCCACCTCAGACGCTTTGATACAGTTGTAATTTGTTCCTCAGATGATGTTTTGCCACGAGGTGATGCTTTTATAGGCCGCTTCCTTTATCGTTCTTTTGATGTGACAGAAACGCGAGTGAAACGCAAACATTTCACATTATTTAAGATAATATTTTACTGTTTTTGTTTTTGATTAAGAGTGCCGAGAAAGACGTCCAACAACTTTATAGACTTGAATTCCTTGTTGCTGTTATCAAATGTAACTTTGTCATTCAAACCTATATTTAACATAGGGCTATTTATTATAGTGCATGCGATATAAATATCAATAAAATGTGGTAATTTTCTCGCTTCATGTTGAACTTTTGTTTTGAATCGCAATTGATTAAAATAAATTATAAGAGTTCAGAAATGAGAAAAACAAACACTTGTGGTAAACATACTCGGGCCTCAAACATTTTTATTTATTGTATTACTATTATAATTTTTTGAAAATACACAACGATTTAATTTGATCAAACTGGAGAGGGAAATAAACGAAAAACATCGGTCACGTGACCGATAAATCTAATGAAAAATCTACCAGGTCGATTATGTGTAATTTGCCACGATATGTTATTATTCCATGTCCGAATTATTGGAAATACCAACCCAGTTTACAAAGCAAAACAAAATTAGACCCAGTTACATTTCTACACGATTTTGTGTCCCAGGCTACATTTGGTTGTTTTTGTTTTGTGACTTTTATTTTGACATGAAACTCGCAACCAGCGTTTAACGATTCGAATGTGAAAATATCAAATTGTTACGTCTATGAATTATAAAACCGCGTGCACAATGTGCGTTTAATTTTATTAAAATGTTTCACAATTACAGGTACAAGTCTCCAAAGCACGTCAAAATAAATAAAAACAAAAATGTGTAGTGTTAACCTGCTGTTACCATTTATAATGATAACGTTAGATCAGTGGCTTTCACTCAGAACGTTTCATGTATTTTACTTATATATATTTTAAATATGAAGTTCAAGTTGGTCATCTGCTTTACTGTACAGTGAACACGTTTTCCAATTTAGACTCAAATTAAACAGTACGACTCACTCTTCATTTTATTCTATATATATATATATATATATATATATATATATATATATATATATATATATATATATATATATATATATATATATATAGCACTTAATTTAGGTCCACTATGAAAGAATACTAATTAGTTTTCCTATATAGAAATTGCATTTTCATTTTAGAGTTTTTAATTAGTCATTTCTAGTTTTTTATCTCCTTTATAAAACAGACCAGAGGATTTCATGCGTGTAAATATTACACAAAAAAACGGAGACAATCAATACTTAAGGTTTTTTTGCAATTAGAGTAAATAAATTAAAGGCATTTTAAAAAAAAAATCTGTCTCCCTTTTTTTTTTTAACATGAAAATTGTGTTATTCTGATTTGACCTGAATTTGAGGATCTATTGACGTTTTAAATTTTATTTCTTAGATTTCTTTTAACTTTAGTCCTTATACATTACTGGCACTCCAGCTTTGCTACTTCATATATTTTGGAAATTATGCAATTAGTTTGAGACCTTTTAAGTGAAATAGACTTTTACTGTATAACTATGCGTTAAAGTCACTTAAATAAATGTAATGCATTCATGTGTAAGAAGTATTAACTTCTAGGTTTTTTTTACCCACAATCTTTGAATAGCTGTATAAATTGATGAAGCCATTACAAATTTCTGAACTTTTAAATAAAGATGATATGATATAAATAAATCAGTTGTGGTGGACTGACATGCCTTTAAACGGATTTTACACAAACAGAAAACAGCTTCATTTCACAATCAATTTATTATCAGGTGTAAATGAATATTATATAATGACACAATCTGATGGATCAGTAGGAGAACAATCACTAGCGCTTCCTCTTGTGAAGGGAGACGTTTTGTTTCCTTTCTGTAGATTACGTGAGCCACTTTTCAATGCATTTCTTGTAGATTTTGTGGTTTTTAGGCCAGGCATTATGTTTAACACCAGGGACGATACACTTCACAATGGCTTCTCTTCGGTTCAGTGTTTTCAGGCCAAAGGCATCATTCACATAAAACTGGAGAGAGGGTGAAATAGTTAGGATAAAAATCAAACAGGATCAGCAAAATGTGAAGCACGAACAAGCTAAACTTGTAATGCATCCTTCAAAATGACCAGAGTAAAACAAGAGAATATTATGGATGTCTTTAAGCAATATACAGTTTTTCTCTATTGGTTTGGCTCATTTCTTGAAACAGGAATTACATTTTCAAAACAACATGGACAAACCTCCAAACCACTTGGCCATTGTTTACTACAACAGACTTGAGTTTCTCATTCATTTAATCAAATTGCAAATGTCTAAGTACATCTTTGCAAATGATTAAGAACAGGTAGCCGACATTTAGCACAGTTTCCAAGTGAATAGATCTTGTTGATCTAAACCGATTTTTGATTCGGAGTTCAATGGTTGTTCTCTTCAAAATATGTCAGCGTCATTTCATTGTATAAGTCATCACATGCGCAATAGTCTGTTCAATTGTCAAAATACTCAAGAACATAATACCATGAGTACCATATATAAATCTGTGGAAAATTTGATACATTTATTACAGCAACTGACAGTCAGGTGAATCTCAGATGATCAATCAAGCACTGTAGGCTGCATATCATTTTCATTGTTTGTTTGTTTATATTACAGTATATTTTGTTTTATTCTGATGTATGGAAATTACTTTATGCATGTGATTGATAACGGTTACATTTTCCATGGCAGTATGAGTAGCACCGTACTTCAAAATGAGTGCAGTCAAACCTTGGAGACTACTCTTAAACTAAAATTTAGTTTTATACTCAATTGCATTCTGTCAAAAGACAAAAAACAGTAGAGTAACCATTTTCAAAAACTGGGCTAAGACTGAAAGGTGGACATGAGGGATATTTCAATGGTCCTCTCCTCTGCGATAGTGACCAAACAACTAAACATTTTGACTTGCAGTGCTTACGCATTGCCAAAGGAACAAATGATTTTGGGGACACTGACTGTTTTAATGAGAAGGAAATTTAGTTGACACGAGTGAACAGTTTTGGGACATATATGAGCTTTTGCAAGTGAGCTATAGTGTTGTGCTGAACTGTAAGCATGTTTTGCAAAACAATCTTAGAGTGTTGATATTGTAATTACGGTTTCAAGAAATGAGTCAAACCAAATGACAAAAACTGTAAATGCTGAGATGAAAATAAAATGCATTCACTTACATCCTGATGCTCCATATCGATCACATTTTCATCGCTGTCATAAAACCCAAACATACTGTGGGGGAGGTAGAAACAAACATGTCAGAAGTTACCTTAAAAAAATAAAATAAAAAATGAGCTACAGAATCCTCAAATACATCTCATATTAATTCCAATCTGTTAAACAGCCACGTTAAATTAACCCTTCAAAATGGCCTTTGGTTGCAACACAATTTAAATAATTTGTGGTTTAGAAAATAAGTCGTTTAGAGCCTTGTTGAAATATTAACCAGAACTGATGTTTACAGTGGGATTTCACTTAATCTTAAAAAAAACAAAAACATTTAAGACTTTAAATGATAATTTGGTAAAAGAAGGACTGGGTTTAAATGTGTGAAACAGGTTTGGGTAAACTTATAGTGCTTTTGTAGAGACCTTGATTGCCATGGTTTAATGACTTCATTATCTGGTCCGCCGAGCAACACCATGGTCTTTATGCGCAGAAAATTTTTGCGCCATGCTGAAAGAGAACCCAAAACAATACAAATCAAGCCTACAGGAACTGAAAGTACACACAAAAGCCGTCAACTGAGCAGCACATAAACGGTTACAGATAGTCATGCCAGCTGAAGGATTGGGTTCAACTGACAGGTTTTTTTAAAAAGGTGCCTTATAAAAGACTGACTTTTCTAAAGCATAAAAACACCAAATGTTGGCAGATTTAATTACCTTTTGACTTGGCATTTTTTACTTCTCCATTCAGCGGGGCTAGAAAGACGCTGTACTTCAAGTATTTTTCAATTTGATGAGGATCTACAAGACAAAGCAACTGATTCAATGTAATTAAAAGGGGTGATCAAACTGTTGCATGACCATTCCCCACCTACATACCTTTCCAGTAGCTACAGCTTGATCTTTTTTGTCCTTGTGTAGTATAACAAGCATTGTACAGTGTTGACTTGCTCAACGAAGGGAAAAACTTGCTGATGTATTTTGAATCTGTAAGAGCATGGAGAAAGCACTCATGCATGTGCATGATGTCTCCTTTCTTGAATGAGAAGAAATATTGTGGTGTGAACGTCACTGACCTCCATAATGGCCAGCTAGTGGTGAAGACACCAATATCAGAGAGTGAACATTGTGATGAGGAAGAGTAGCAAGAACTCCTCGACATATCAAACCACCTGTGAATAAAAAGAAAACTGAGTTTGAGGTTTGGACGATTCTCAAGCAGTGAGTGTATAGTAAATATTAAAGTTATTTAAAATAGTAAGAATGTAACCATTACACAGTCTTAAAGCATAATAAAAATACAAACAAATAAAATAAATAAAACCACCTTCTAGAGCATGTGTGACTAGTTAAAGGCGCTGAATTCTTACAGACCCCAAACTCTTTACCAGTGTGGTGTATAACCTGCATGAAACAGCTTATTATTGTATTATTTTACTGGCTATATTGCCTTGTGCAAAGCAGATGAGATGGACGCCGTCTTTAGCTCTTTCCATGATGGGTTTGATGGCCTTTCGAAATCCATCCACCTGTTCCCACATTGGCTTTACGCTGGCATCGCCATCATACAGAGATATTGCAGTCACACTGGTACCTGGATGAGACTAAAACATGGTAAATGAGAAGTTGGTGAGTTTTATTCTAGATGAAAAGAGCTGGGCTAAAATGTATATGTATATATATATATATATATATATATATATATATATATATATACACACACACACACACACATATATATATATATACATATATATATATATATATATATACATACATACATTTTTTATATATATGTATATATATATATATATATGTATATATATATATATATATATATATATATATATATATATATATATATATATATATATATATATATATATATATATATATTAATAATAAAAAACACAATAAAGCCATTTCTGTGGGTCAGCATCAAATGAAATTGTTTTGCATACAAGGACGAACAATAAAGATGATAATAATAATTATAACAACAACAACAACATGGGTAGAAAAAATACCCGTTTAATATATTTCTTCAACGTCGCCATCTGTTCAGGTCCACCGAAGAGCCCGTGAACAAGAATCACTGGTCTGTACGCCATGATGACTGTGGGCAGCAGCAGCAACACAGCCCAGATGAAAACACATGGTCTACAGCCGTCAGTCATCGCGACAACAGCCTATAACATGAAATCAAACATTTATATGTTTATTGTATATTTTAACGTTAACTGACCAAAATATTTATTTGGCATTTAAGTAGACAAGACCGACCTTAGCAAGACACTCAAGAGTTGGGCATCGGTCGCGATACAGCTGTAATTTGTTCCTCAGGTGATGTTTTGCCATTTGAGGTGATGCTTTTATAGGCCGCTTCCTTTATTGCCGATTTCATGCGTTTTGTTATTGACACTTGCGTTCTTGTTAAATGAAAGTTAGTTGTTTTTTGTGTGTGCAAAATATAGATACCAGTACGTATCACATTATAACATATAAAGTGCATACTGTAGAAATATAAAAAATCAACTTTTCAGGCTTTATGTTGGATTTTTGTTTTGAATCGCGAATAAATAAAACTTGGATGAAAGAACTAAACACCTAGTAAAATAATAAATTTAATTAATAGTAATTATTAATTAGTTAATTATTCATTATTTATTAAGAGTTATGAAGTTATACGAGAAAAACAACACATGTGGATATTCATTATATATACGTAATATTATAGACAAAATATGTATTTTACATACATACATATATATATATATATATATATATATATATATATATATATATATATATATATATATATATATATATACATACATACATATATATATATATAAAACGTTACTGCAATATTCTGTTTTACAAACTGTACAGACGTGTATCCCATTTTTTCCTAGTTATATGCGTTACTACACTAAACATTCTGTTGCATTAAAATTTTGTCGAAACGCAAATTTTTATAAAATAATAACATTTAAAACCCAAAGGGAAAAATAGTATAATTACATGGCCATAATACCAAACCAGCTAATAAGAGCTAGAAAATTTGTCCCAGTTAACGCCAACTACTGAACAAGAGTACTTTTCTTTCCAGTTTTCTACCTTTCGTCTTTTTTGTGTCCACGCCGGCCAAACCATGAATGGGTTTTTCTGTGACTTTTATTTTGACAGAACCAACACTGTGACCCGGAAGTCGCATACATGTTGTTGTAAGAGAAAGCGTGTGGAGAGACAACTAAACGTAAGTTTAGCGTTTCCAGTGTTAATGTTTAAGTTTGTGAACCAGTATACTGCTTGTATCGAGTCCGTATTTTTATATATATCTTCTAAGCACGTCAATAAATTAAAATAATGAATGTGCAGTGTTGACCTGCTTTAGTTGTCTGCAGTAGTCACACTTTTGGTTTTAACTTAGCAGCTAACATAGCTTCTAACGTTACTCAGGATATTTCATGTAGTCCTCATTTTCGTATGAAATAAATCACGGCTTAATTTATTAAAATACGACGTTCAAGTATTGATGTAAAGTTGGTTTTATATACGCACATTCGTTCAGTGATAACTTGTGATGTGCTCCTTATATTGTTTACCATGGTAACTTACTTTGAGAATGACTTAAAACAACATTAACACTAATTATCTGACTGTGAACAATGTTGTACTCTGTCATTGGCTGCTAATATGATTTCACTATTTAGTATTCGCAAAGAATATATGAAATCATATTATTATAGGGAGAAAGTCTGAATGTGTGAATGTGAAACTAACTTTACCTCAAAGGTTAGTCCGCATGCTGTTGTAAATGTACTGTCCAATTCAGATTCTAGGTTTATTTATAATTACGACAAGTGGTTAAGTGCTTTCTACCACTGTTTTTGTTAGATATACAAACAAAACAGTGGCCATTACATAAAATGATTGAGGTAAATTTGGATAAATATTCGCATACTTGTGATATGCTCCCTATATTCTTTACCAAGGTACTTTGTCAGGTCTGAAATCACACGTAAGAATGACTTCAAATCAACATTAACACTATTTATCTGACTGAACAATGTTGTAATTTGATAGTCAGTGGTTGCTCGTATGTGATTTCACTATTTAGTATTTACAAATGTTTCTTTTTTAAAATTATATTATTAGCGTTAAAGTCTGAATGTGTGAGTATAAAACCAACTTTATCTCAGTTGTTGAAGTTAGTCCCCTGCTGTTGTGAATGTACCATCCAATTCAGATTTTTAGGTTTATTTACCATTTCGACAAGTAGCTAAGTGCTTTCTACCACTGTTTTGTTATTCATTTTTTTCTAATTTTCCTTCAGCGTAGTCCCTTTATTAATGTGGGGTAGCCACAGCAAAATAAACCGCCAACTTATCCAGCATGTTTTTTTACGCAGCGGATGCCCTTCCAGCCGCAACCCTTCCCTGAGAAACATCCATACACTCATTCACACTTATACACTACAGACAATTTAGCCAACCCAATTCGCCTGTACTGCATGTCTTTGGTCTGTGGGGAAAACCAGAGCACCCGGAGGAAACCCAAGCGAACGCAGGGAGAACATGCAAACTCCACACAGAAATGCCAACTGACCCAGCCGAGGCTCGAACCAGCGACCTTCTTGCTGTGAGGTTGCAGCACTACCTGCTACCTCTGTTTTGTTACATATAAGGAAAACAGTAGCCATTACATAAAATGTAATATTTTGATATCCTTAGATTTATTCATGTGTTCATGTGACTGTGGCTGCACAATATTGGAAACAAACTGACATTGCAATATTTAATTTTTTTTGCGATACATATTGCGATATTGAGTGTATTGTTAACACATTTAATGAATATTCCTATTTGGAAAGAATTAATAATTTTAGGCTACTTTTAAATTTAAATAGGATGCTTCTGTAATGTAATAAACCAAATCACAAGCAATGATAAGTGTAATAATGCTAAGTGATAAATGAAATGCATGCTTTATGGTTTTTCTGAGAGTCTACAAGCATTCAGGTACACCAATTAAATAACTAAATGTAAAATAAATAACACTGTTTCTTCATTGTGAATGTACTGTATTAATCTTTCTTGAAAGATACCTAAGTTGTTATTTCCTGTGCAAGAATGCTTTAACCTGGCTTGAAATTCGTACACATTAACATGCATTAAAGGACATAAAAATTAGAAAATAAAAATAGATTTCTTGCAACTTTATGGTTAAACTTTGAAGTTATTATAATGTCTGTTTTAGCTTCTGATCAACTAGAATCCTGATTTGTCATTACAAATGTGCACATTGAGCTATCGATGCTGAAACAATATATTTTGCAGCCCTACATATGACTGTAATACACTTACCTGGATGTTTAAAACAAGCCTAAAGGACTCAATAGGGTATATGCCGAGCTAGTGCTGTTCCCATGCTGATATACTTCCGGTGACCTGTTATTGTGAACTTTTTCTCATTTTATATGGTTCCTTTTACACCATCGATGTTGTAATGTCATTAAAATACATTCAGTTAAATAAACTTTAGCATTTATTTAGTTGCTCAAGCATAAAACGAGACAAAAAGCTGTTTACTCGCACGCGCCCGTCAGAATCGGCAGGCTAACGCAGAAGCTCCATTGAATATACTGGAGTAAAATAAATGCTCATATATTAAAGATATGGTGGGGGAAATGTTATTTAATGCAGTGCTTCTTGTACAATCTGAGACCCACTTTAAATCAGATATCACTCAGCTAGTGGAGAGCGCTGATTTTTTTAAGAAAACAGACCTTAAACGCACCGGATTTTGCATTGGCATTCAATTCGCAGGAAGCGCTTAACCCAGGTTAATGGAAAATTAAAAGTCCTATTAGCATGCTTCGGCATACACCCCATTAGTTTGATCAAGTGTGTTAATTAGGTGTCAAACTCCGCCAGTTTAGCTTTAACCCTGTGATCTAGTAAATCTAGTTGTTATTGAAACTAACACATGTTTTTTTGTTTTTTTTTGTAGTCACAATGGCCAATCTGGAACAGTGGGTTAGTGACCAGCTCCATGACATCCTGGGTTTAAGTGACCGATATGTGGCCCAGTTCATGATCGGACTGGTTCAGAAGTCGTCTGGACCTCAGGATTTTGTGTCTCGGCTTCAGGACACTGGAACTATTGACATTGATCAAAGAATCACAGCGTTTGCACATGAGTTGTACGACAAGGTATGTTTTTTAAGGTCAATACACAGAATGTTAATGTAATACTTGAATTTACTGTGAAAGTATAATGAGCTTCCTTTTCAGGCTCCCAAAAAGCATGTGGTTGAAAAACCTGCTCGAGCAATCGAACGTCAGGTCATGGAGATGGAGAGAAAGAACAGAACCTACACCCTTCTGGAGGACAGCGAGAGCGATGGAGAGGCAGCCAGAGAAGGAGGAAAGGAGAAGAAAAGCAAAGAACGAGACAAAGGAAAGAAGAGGAAACATCTCAGACAGAAACGAGACGAAAGTCCATCGTCCAGTGAAGAGGACAAGAAAAAGAGGTGATTATGTTCTGTCTTTTTTTGTACACTGCAGGGGTCAGCTTTTGTTGTGTTTATTTGTACTTTGAGTAAATAAGTAAATGAATGAATGCATTAGGGTTGTGCGATTTAAGGAAATATAATAAATGCTATTTTATTTATTTATTTTTTCTCTCTCCCTGATTTAATTTTGCGGTTTGATTTTGTAGTTTTTTGTTTATTTTGAGCTTCAGCTCAATAATTGGTATTGTAGCTTTTTACTGCTAAAATGCAGTGTGTTAGTTCAAAAAAGCAGTTCAAAAGGTATCAACTTACTCCAACATTTATTCTAATTCAGAAATTAAACACTACATTTTTTCTCCAGAGCAAGTAGGAAGCACAAATATAGTGACCTTACCTTTCTGTAAAGAAGTTCAACTCAAAATAAGGAGATAGTAACAAAAAAAAAAAACAATTACACTAATACAGAACACTCAGCAAACATGACTGATAAAAGTCTTTCAGTAGCTTTTATTGTCTAAAAACAAAATAATAATAAAAATATAATAAAATAAATAATGCAGATTCAACGTACAGCTGTGGTACTGTAAACTGGCAAACATTTGTGTAAGAAGGAAGTGTATATCTCTTATCCTGCAGTTGGATGAGGTTTTTAAATCTCTATTTGGTCACTGCAATAAAAGACACAGTGTCTTTAGCGAGGTCGTAAGTTATGGCGTTAGTTATCTCCTGGTGCATTCGTGATGTTTTTTCATATGGTGTAACAGTTGCAAACTACTCTGAAATTGTACTTTGCTGTTGCTCGCTACTAGATTGAGTGTCATTGACAATACTTTTAGTTGACTTTTTAGCAAGACACTCATCATATAGCCGTCTGTGGTGCTTTTTTAGGTGCTGATCGTATTTCCTCTTGCTGTGACAACAATTCTGTGACAACTCTTACAAATGACCTGTTTTTGTTCGGTATCTGTGACTTTAAAACCAAAATATTCCCATATTATCGACATGCTGATTTTCTTTGATTTTAATTTGTCTCTTAATGCTTCTGAAGCAGCAGACGCTTTTCTGTCTGTTTGTTTATTTGCTTGTTGGTTTGTTTTATTGTGAGAGTTCCGCATAGTTTGTTGTGCAATTCTTATTGGGCAAAACAAAAGTGGCTGGCAAGACTGTCAGACACGGACAGCAGTCACACATTTGCTCTGGGTGGGGGAAATTAAATAATATATATTTCATATCGCAACCTCTTGCGATTTAACTAATTGCAACAGTTCAAACTGCGATTCAATTTCGATTAATCGCACAGCCCTAGAATGAATGCTAAAACAGTTTAGACCCCAATATGTCATGGTTCTCTTTGTTTAGAGAACCACATGCAATCAATTATTATCAGTGCACATAAAAATATATATGTTTTCTTTAGCATTTTTAAAAAGATTTCAGTTGAAAACACATGAAGTGTAAATGCAGCATTAAAGCAGCCTGTATTGTTTCTTATATGTAAACACAATTGATTAATTGAAAAAATATATAAAATCAAATCAAATATATGAGATAAAATAATAAGTTGCTCCCAAGTTGAATAACTGAATTTTAAATTCAAATTTAAATTATCATTGTAGAATTGTGTTTTGGCTGTTTTTATTAATTAATAATACTTAATTAATTAATTTATTTTTAATTTTAGTCAGTTTAATTTGTTTGTTTTTTATTTGAATGCCTTTAATATTATTATGCATTTTTATTTCATTTTTAACACATTTATACAAACCCCCAGCATTTTATATGGGTCCCTGTGGCTCTCTGACCCCAGTGCTAAATCATAAAAATTGAAAAAAAAATTTATTATTATTTGAAGGCCTAAAACATGGAGCATTTCATAGTTTCAAATAGGGAATTGACAATTTTATTCACAATTTTATTTAGTTTCAGTGTTTGATTTCTTTTATACTTTTTTAGCATTACGTTCAAGGATGAGGCAAAAAAAGCTGGAAAAGAAGATGAGGAGGAAGAAGAATGGGAGCGGGAAGAGCGAGAGAGACTTCAGGATCTGGAGGAGAGGGACGCCTTTGCTGAACGAGTGAAACAGAAGGATAAAGACAAGACGAGACACATACTTGAAAGAAATGACAAAAAGGTAACAAAATATGATGTTCAACAACAATAACACAAAAATCCACTTGTTTCTTGGGAAAGTGAGGGCTAATGTTATGGATTGTCTCTTTTCTCAATCTCAGGCGTATGAGGAAGCTCAGAAAAGGCTCAAAATGGCTGAAGAGGACCAAAGGAAAATGGTGAGAAACTTGAATGCATTTTTATACACAATAGTGCTCTTTTTTTATCATGCACAGTTATAATCAGAATTATTAGCTCTCCTGTATACATGTTTGGTTCATTGCTGAACATTTTCTACAATCTGTAGGACAGCTGTAATAACTATGAACACAATTGTTTTCAGCTTCCAGAGTTGAGGAAACAGTCACGTCGGCAGTATCTGTCCAAAAGAGAGCAGGAGAAGCTGGAAGACCTGGAGGCTGAAATTAAGGATGAGGAGTACCTCTTCTCCACTCAAAACCTCACTGATCGGGAGAGGAAAGATTTGGAGTACAAGCGGACCATTAGAGACATGGCCAAGGAATACAAGAAAGCGGGAGCGAAAGAACAAGAGGAGAGAAAGAACAGATACTACATGCCAGAAGAGAAAAGAAATAAGGTTGGTCAAAATTTTACTTGCAGGGGAATTATGGGATGTTTACACCAGTCACCAAATAATTAGTCAAACAAAATCATTTGTATAAATACTTTCATAAAGTGTTTTTTTAATTTAGACTTAAGCCCCAGTCAGATCACACAATTTTTATTGTCGATTACGAAAGTCGCTATGTCAGATTATGCAATTTTAGTTTTTTATTTTTCTTGATAAAATCATGACTTGTCATAGGTAACACATGTGCCAGACTACACCAACCTTCACGATCAACAGGGTCCTAAAATGTGTTGAAGGTTCATAAATCAATTATGAGAAAATTAAGGCTCTTAAAAGGTATTAAAAAGTCTTAATTGCGTTTTTTTGAGGTCTTAAATTTAGTTGAAGCGTTGTTCAAAGTGTTTGACCCTGAAAACCATAAATATATTTATTTCCCTCCTAATATTAATAACGGCATGCTCAATCCACGGCACTGATACGGGCCGAGGCGTGTACGGCCAAGCTTCTTTGCCCAGGTGATGTCACATAATTTGCGACAAACGCGTGATGTGACGCTCTCCACATGTAGCAAAACCACTGAATGGAACAGACGGAAAAATGGGGAAAAAAGTACGTTTGCGTAGTCATGTTTGGAGAAAGGCAAGTTTAAACAGTGGCTGAAGCCTGTAGCTGAGAATTACCACGTAGTTCATTCATTCAAGCTTTGTTTGTAAGTGGCGATGAGGTCTTAAAATATTCTGAGAAGGTCTATAAAAAGTCTTAAAAAGGTATTGACATTACTTTTAGAATTCCTGCATATACCCTGGATCAGTCATCCCTTGACGTCTACGACGAGCATTATTTCCCAAAGCAGTCCCAAAGTGTTGCTATAACAATATTTCTTATCTCAATTTCAATTTTTTTATATTATTTCAATCTAAGTAAACACTGATGCTTGCAGAAAACTAATAATTACGTTATTTAAGGGCATTCACTATGGCATGGATAGGATCAAACTCATGATTCCTGTTTTAATATTAAGATATTTTTTTTGAAATGTAAGTGTATATTTTCCTGCCATGGGTTTCTTAATAAACAATTCAAAATGCCAAAACACGAATTGCCGTGAGATTCTGTTGGTTACTTAAATAAAATAATAATCTAGCCTAAATAAAATAAAAGTGAAACATTCACAGTTTTTAGAGAAGCCTATAATAAACTGTTTTCATTATTAATGACAAATTTAAACAAGCAGGACATGCTTTTGCAATGTATTCGCAGCACTGAACATGTTCCTAGATTACCTCGGAAGAACAAACTCTGTTGGAAGGATGAGAGAATTTTAAAAAAGGTAGTTAAAGTTTGCATAACCAATGATTGATCTTATTCACCCGTCACCCACCCATAAGTAAATTGCATAGTGCCACCCACATGACGGAACTCGTCGTGAAGAATGAGGAAAAAATTAAAAATGCTAGACTTTCTATAATGATATCAATTGTCATGAGCTATGACACATTACACAAGAAGAATCTTGTGTCAAGAAGAATGCCCATTTGTCATTTACAAATCCCCACAACATCTTACGTCGGGGAAATTGTGACAAAATTGTGACAAATTTTTGTGATCTGACCGGGGCTTTAGGGTGCTTTCACACCTGCCTTATTTAGTTTGATTGAATCGCACTAGAGTTCGTTTCCTCTTTTGGTGTGGTTCGTTTGGGCAGTTGAGAATGCAGCAATCGTACTTGAGTGTGCACCAAAAGCAGACCAAATAAGCGTACCGAGACCTGCTTGAAGAGGTGGTCTCGGTACGCGTTCATATGAACCGCATATGAACCGCAAAAAGTACTGCGAGATTTGGACTAATTCAGCTGCCGTAGGCCGATGCGCTGTGCATTATGGGATATGGAGGAAAATGTTTGTTGACAGCGCTTTACCAACAGAAAGAGAGAGAGAGAGAGAGAGGGGAAAACATTACCTGATGGATCGTTGGTAATATTTCCGCAAGATGGCCATATCGCAGTTTAGCTAAATTAATTCACGTCTCCTCCTGAAGTGGCGAGCGATGCATTAAACGCTGCTTTCCAGCCGCGGCCGCGCTTCATTTTCGTAATGTATAGTTTGTCTAAAGCAGGGATACAATCAGCCAGCGCAGTCGTCCCTCCAGAGTAAAAGGTTTTGTTTACCTGCGGGAGTTCCATGGCATTTTCCCGCACGTGAATTCTGACCAATCAATAAGCAGTTTAGGAAATATGTTCAACAACATCTGGCCAATGAGAGATATGGATTTTGTCAGATGACTGCATTTTGGTTCGTTTCAACTGGTTCGGACCAAAGCCAGCAGTATGTTGTGAAAACGACCCAAAGACGGCAGGAGATGCAACAATGTATCATTTATTACCCTTGGTCCGGACCAAATGAAGCGAACTACAGATGTGAAAGCACCCTTAATCTACCATTTTAGGTCATTAATATGTAAAGAATAAAGTACATCCAGGTGGTTATTATCTTAAAATCTGAAACATAATTGGTTTGCTGACATATTCAGGAATTTTAAATATCTATTTTTTTAGTATTTACAATGTCATTTCTGTTGTTAAAATGATAAGTAAATAGCATAATTAAACTTGACTGTTTTCATCTTTGTCCAAACATTGCAGTCGATTCCTCAAAAAGACATGGATCTGGAGTTTGAGGAGACTCCCAGAGAGGGCGGTGGAGAGCAGGGCCGATGGGAGGAGGCACGAGTGGCCACTGCCACACTGCAGTTTGGGGCCAGACAAGAGCGCGAACGGCGGATCAAGGAGGAGCAGGAGAGATACCAGCTCATTTTAGAGGAAGAGGAGATGATCACCTTCGTCAGCACCGCAATTACCATGAAGGGAACGCTGTCAGAGAAGGTTGACATTATTTATGGTTGTTTTTCTGTACCACTGCATCCCAAATGGCACACTATGCACTTATACACAGTGTACTTATGCACTTACTCACTCAACAGCATTCATTCGTTAGTTTTCCTTCAGCTTAGTCCCTTATTTATCAGGGGAATGAACCACCAATATTTCAGCATATGTTTCATGCAGCGGATGCCCTTCCAGCAACAACCCAGTACTGGGAAACACTCATACACACTCATTCACACTCATATACGGCGGTTTATTTCTGTTCATCCAATTCACCTTTACTGCATGTCTTTAAAACCCACACAAACACAGGGAGAACATGCAAACTGCACACAGAAATGCCAACTGGCCCAGCCGGGACGGGAACCAGCGACCTTCTTACTATGAGGCAACAGTACTAACTAATACTAATACTAGCCACCTTACTCAACAGCATAGTATTTGAATTTAGTGTCACCTCACATGGAACACTAACGTTTTTTCACTAACCAGAAATTCAGACCGTTTCCCCTATGACGTTTGACAGTTGGCAAATTAGTGAACTTACTTATTAGTGACAAACTATCAGATACCTGTCATGAGTGTAATTCACCACATTCACCATCAGGAGGTGGTATAATACTTATGTGAGAGAATTTTGCTTTCATAATCCAAAATAAATAAATTAATCCAAGGTCAGGGCTCAATAGCTCCAGGTTTATTTTTAACGATTAAATAAGTGCATCGTCCGGCTATTTAAAGTGCACTTAGTCTTTTATAGAATAAAAATAATATTTCAGTGTGAATGCACTAATTACACTAGTTATACTACAAAATGTTGTAGAATCGTGCATAGGTATGCGATTTGGGATGCACCTTATGTATTTAATACAAACAGAATAAAAACAACAAACTAATCTCACTCTGTTTCTGACAAGCAGGAAAGTGAACCTGAGTTATCACAAGCTGAGAAACAGAAGCAGTCCATCCAGGAGGTGAGACGCAGCCTTCCCATCTTTCCCTACAGAGAAGACCTGCTAGCAGCCATCGGAGACCACCAGATCCTGGTCATAGAGGGTGAAACCGGCTCTGGGAAGACGACCCAGATCCCTCAGTATCTCCTTGAAGAGGTAGATTGCATTACAAATATCCAAACACCTTTTATGCTGTTGGTTCCTGACTTTGAATTGTTTGAATCACATTTCTAAATTTAGATAAGATGATACAAATTAAGAAACCATGCACGGTTTGTTTGAAGACCACTATCAAATATTATTGTACAGCTATTGAATAATATTTTAAGATGCCACTTGAAAATTCTCAGTTTCTTTGGATTTTACTGGATTAATCAAGTGTGGGACAGAGATAGAATGGAAATATTTTTTTTCTTTTATGAAAGTTTGATAATGTTTCAAAATTTAAATTAAAACATTTTAGTCATTAAGAGCGTTTTTTTTTTTTGCCTTCAAAATATTTCGTATTTATATAACTTTTTTGTTGTTGTTGTTGTTATGATTGAAAATCAAAGTTATTCTAACCAAACAGTAATTTGTTAATTTAAAACAATAGGAACTTTAGGTGTAAAAATTATCCTCTTAAGGCCTCAGGTGTTTTTTTTTACGTGTATTTTTTTATTTCTCTTCGCTTTTTGGGCTTATTGGAACCTAATTAGAATAAAAATCTAAGTATCATCTTTTCATATGATGTACTTTTAGAGAAAAATTATGTCCCATATATGTAAACTTGTGGTCCGAATTTACATAAAACACTGTTTTTAATGCATATTTAACAAATACATTTTTTAAACATGTTATGACTATCAGAGAGTAAAAACATTTAATTAACTAAATAACATTAAACTTACATTTTTTGCCCATTTTGGGCAGTTAAAAATAGGGTTTGGGACATTTCATATGCTGCAAAACAGTTGCAGGATGACTCTGTATGTCTGTAACAAAGTATTAAACATAAGACATAAAAGCTCAAATGTGCTGTCCATGTATGTGGCCACTAAGCCCTAGGAAATTAATATCTGAAATCATGACGTCTTTTTTGTTTGTTTTTATGCAAAAAAAGTTAAAGACAATGTCATATTTCATTGAATTAAACAACATTTATATTGTAAACAAACACAACTGTGAATCGTCACAGCTCAACTACAATTGAAACATTTGAGGGAGTTTAGAAATTGTATTATTTTCTTTGTGTTTTTTTTTTAAGTTAAAATTGAAAGTGTAAAAAGAATAATGCGACCTATTAAGCCTAAACGTTTAACACATTCTTTTACATTGCCCTGGTTACACGTTACATAAAGTTATTGTGGTAATATCAGTAAATTATTCATAATTACATCTAACTGAACCTTATTTCTCACTGAAACCTAATAGTACTAATAAGCGTACTGGTGTTTAAAGGGATACTTCACCCAAAAATTTAAATTTACTCAGTTTATTCACCCTAAACTGGTTCCAAACCTTTCTTTCTTTCTTTCTTTCTTTCTTTCTTTCTTTCTTTCTTTCTTTCTTTCAAGAAAATTAAAAACCTGTAACGTCCATAGTAGGAAAAAACAAATACAATGGAAGTAAAAAGTTACCAGTTTTCAGCTTTCTTTAAAACATCTTATTTTGTGTTCAACAACAGAAAGAAATTTTGTTAGTAACTAGTAAAATGTTGACATGACATGATTTTTTCAGTTTTCAGCTTTTTATATTACTCTGTATTGGCGTTTAACACCTGAAATTTCCATTTCATTAATATATTGTCTATTCTCTATCAGGGTTACACAAAAGGAGGAATGAAGATCGGCTGTACTCAACCTCGAAGAGTGGCAGCCATGTCCGTAGCAGCCAGAGTTGCACAGGAAATGAGCGTCAAACTAGGAAATGAGGTATTTTTTATTTCTTTATTCTTTTTAAATGTGTGATGGATAAATGATGAGCTTGCAGATTTCTGAGAAAATTGTTAGTATGCAACAGATTTGTAACCTTTTTTTTAAACAGCTATGTTGTGATATTTTCCAAAGGTGGGCTACAGCATCCGTTTTGAGGACTGTACATCAGAGCGCACCATTCTTAAGTATATGACTGACGGTATGCTCCTCAGAGAGTTTCTTACAGAGCCTGACCTCGCCAGCTACAGGTAAAAACACTGCAAACATGTGTCAGTTTAATAATTTTTGATGGCGTTGTAAATATAAACCTGCTTATCATTATTGCTTTCTCTCTTCTGATTGGCTGCTTTGTTTGTTCAGTGTGATCATCATTGATGAGGCTCATGAGCGAACGTTACACACAGACATCCTCTTCGGTCTGATTAAAGACATTGCACGTTTCCGCCCTGACCTGAAGGTCCTGGTTGCCAGCGCCACACTTGACACAGAACGCTTCTCCAGCTTTTTTGATGATGCACCTGTGTTTAGGATTCCAGGCCGCAGGTTCCCTGTGGACATATATTACACAAAGGTAATGAATCGTGATTGTAGGAAAAATTTGGGATATATTTCAGTAATTTACACAATAAAGTAAAATTGGAGTGGCACGGTCGCCTCACAGCAAGAAGGTCGCTGTTTCACACATTTCTGTGTGTAGTTTGCATGTTCTCCTTGTGTTGGTGTGGGTTTCCTCTGGGTGCCCTCTAAATTGGCTGTAGTTTATTAGTTTTTGTGTGAATGAGTGTGTATGGGTGTTTCCCAGTACTGGGTTGCTGTTGTAGGCTTCTTTAAACATATGCCGGAATAGTTGGGTTTTCATTCTGCTGTGACCACTCCTAATAAATAAAGGACTAAGCCAGGGGTCTCAAACTGCCAGCCCCCTCTTTCTTTTTCTGGCCCGCAACTGATGTCAGAAATATAACAAGATTTGGCCTGCCAAAACATATATTTTTGAACCTCTATAATTGTTGTGCAGTTGCGTCTAGCCACTTGTGATTTTGACCCGACACCTAGTATCGCATTTAGAGTAGTTTTACTTTCATTTTCTCTCAGTGTGCGGTCGAGAATAACACACATGCATTTTATTTCTATGGCTGATTTTAACGTTTAAATATATGCCTGTAAATGCTCCATTATAATTTTTTTTGTGTGTGTGTGTGTGTATTTATATATATATATATATATATATATATATATATATATATATATATATATATATATATATATAATCAAATAATAATAATAAAAAATAATAATAAACAAATGGCAAAAAACAAACAAGGAGGTACAGTTCAGCTCACAAACACAAATAGGGCTTTACAGGTGCCCAAACACGTACATGGGAGTTCAGTAGGTCTGGAGAATTAAAAGAATATTTAAGTATTAATAGTAAGTGTGAAACAATTAATAAAAAGCACTCCATTTTTACTAAAGCTCTATTTCTGTAAATATTTAAGGGTTATTTGATTATAATCAGTTTTTACCACCTGTATTTTGTTGTACAAACACTTCATCGTGGCTTACATGTTATGCTTGTGGTGTAAGAAATATGATAGTTTCACTATTAATCGATTCAAATGGTCTCATTAATAGATTTTCCTCATATGCGTAGCAAGATTTGCATAAAAACTATGTACATTAGTAAAATTGTACTGATAGTTAAATTAAACTTGTAAAAGTAAATGTGAACATGGACATACTTCACCCTCTTTGTTGTAGTTTTACTAAAAAAAGGTATTGAGAAGAACAATTGCCAGTAAAGTCACTTAAGTAACCCAAACTGCTTTCTACAGTTCTTACGCTACTGGGACAATACAACTGGTTGGGACAGAATTATAGTTGTTATGTCTATTATCTGTAGTATTTTAATAGCAATTTAAACTCCCCTTTTAATATATAAAGCAAGAAACTAAAAAATAGAGTTTTGACTGCATATACTTTATGGAAAAATGTCTGTGTGTCTAATGCTCGGCCATACACACAACAACCACAGATATATTTCAGCAACTGTGTAAGGTGATAAACATACTGATTTGCATTATCACTGGTGACAGATGATGCTTGAAATATCAGCGTCATGTCCGTTGTCCCAAGATGCATTATTTATGTCAGGTTTTTTTTTCTTGTGCTTGAATGTTAAAACGGCCCTTCTATGAATTGTCAGTCATTGAAATTGCCCCCTGCCAATTTGAGTTTGAGACCCCTGGACTAAGCTAAAGAAAAATTAATCAATTAATAAAATGTAATTATTAATGAAAAAAAATGTACTCACATAAATATAGACATTTAGGTTGTTATATATAGCACTGTAACTGCATGGTAAACCGGATATTTCTATATTTATTTGTGTGTGTTTGAGTAAAATCTACAGTGTGTAATCTACAGAAATGTCTTCAAGATTTAAAATCAAACATGTTTGAAATGCTGTCACAGTATATAAAACACTGGTCATTTTTAATTCAAAATATGAATTAAGACTCTTTAGATTTGGATATGTTGTCTTTTGGCCCATTTAAATATTTAAATAATATGTAAACTTAATGTAAAACAATAATATTATGAATGAATTATAATGTTTTGATGCGTCTGTTCAGTTTTAGCATTTGTAGTGATTACTGTTAGTTTTTAGTATCTTTTTATTTATTATTATATCTTTTTATTATCTTTATAATTATTTAATATTTGTAAATCTGTATTTAAATGTGTCCTTGTTATGCAATTCACATACCTACTAAGCTAATTGCAATCAATTATGCAAAAATACATGCAACTAAACCTAATTAGCATTCTTGTAAGTAGTACATGTAGTTAAGTAATATTACTCAGTAGTTAAATGAATAGTCACACTGTAAAGTCATATATTTACCATAGGAAATATAAAACAAGCAGTAGTAGTAGTAATAATTAAGTTGCAGATTTTTTATAATAGTGACTGTATGTTATTGCTCATAACAAGAAGTTTCAAGTATTGACTAGATTATCTCAGACGCAGTGTAAGAATCCAGTTTGGTAAAATGTCTGATCTGTTTTGCATTGATTTGTTTCATTTATCTTTGATTTCAGGCTCCAGAAGCCGACTATCTGGAAGCATGTGTGGTGTCAGTGCTACAGATCCACGTCACTCAGTCGCCTGGAGACGTACTGGTCTTCCTCACGGGACAGGTCAGTCCTTCACACCCAGGCTGTTTATAGTTCATGTTTCCCTCGTGGGTGGACATGAGCAATCTTTATTAGTGCATTAAACTATTCAAAAGAGCCGTGTTGAGCCTATACACAACATGTGCTAAAGAGATTTTCCAATACGTCAACACTGACATTCTCTTGACGCAGGCGACTGTATATTGGAAATTTAAAGGGCTCCTTTTTTTAACCCTTTTACAAGATGTAAGATAAGTCTCTGATGTGGTTTCAGTTCAAAATAGCCATCAGGTTTTTTTTTAATTATTTATACAATGCAGAATATACACTTTTTGTGCTCAGAGCAAAGTGTAGATGAATTACCTGTTCCTTTAAATGCAAATAAGGTGGTTTTGCCTGCCCGATAATGGCTGCCCAAGTATATTTGGTGATTATTCGCAATCAGTTAACCAGTGGAAAATCTTCTCTTGCACTACATGTTTTGTACTGCTCGTTGTGTGTGCGCAAGACCTGTCAACACTCCCACAGACAATCCCACATGCTCTGCAGGCCCACAGAGATGCACCTTTTAGGCACTTAAAAAAATGCATCCAGCCTAAATATCCTAAAATGTCTGGGATTTTTGCTTTTGCTAGTTGTTGTTAATCGTATATGTTTTGCGTTACCTTTTTATTTAAGCCTATTTTCTTTTGGTTTACAACTGACCACGTGCACAGAGCGAGAGAAACTTTAAATACTTAATTTTTTAACAAACAACTCACAAAAACTTTACTATATACTTGGAAAGGACAAAATGACATTATTCTTGTAATTATTATAGTTTTAGCATTCTTTTTATTTCTTTTTTTCTGTCATTTATTTATTATTTACTGTATATTTTATTAATGTGATGATGTAAATATGTTACATGCTTTATACATATCTAAAATGCTTTGGCAACACAGTACAAAAGTCATGTCAATAAAGCAACTGTGTATAAACGGTGTATAATAGTGTATCAATACATAAAAATATAGTTAAACCACGGCGATGCAGTGGCGCAGTAGGTAGTGCTGTCGCCTCACAGCAAGAAGGTCGCTGGTTCGAGCCTCTGCTGGGTTAGCTGGCATTTCTGTGTGGAGTTTGCATGTTCTCCCTGCGTTTGTGTGGGTTTCCTTCGGGTGCTCCCCCGCAGTCCAAAGACATGCAGTACAGGGCAATTGAATAGGCTAAATTGTCCATAGTGTATGTGTGTGAATGAGTGTGTCTGCGCATGTTTCCCAGAGATGGGTTGTGGCTGAAAGGGCATCCGCTGCGTAACAATAAACTTTAAACATAACATTATACAATTACTCTCTTTACTTTATTACAAACCAAGTTTCTTTGCAAATCCTTTTCTGTGGACATGGTAATAAGAGTTGCTGGTGAGTTATTGGCGCCTGTAAATTTTCTTTAAAGTTGCTAATGAACCATATTTATTTTCTAATGTTATGTTTAAAGTTTATTGTTACACATAGATTTATGTTATAATAATAATTAGTTGTGTATTTGTATGCAACCGTTACATATTGACATTTTTTTTTTACTTATTAGAGAATGAAATACAGTTATATTATATCTAACATAATTACGTAAAAGCTAATTTATTTAACACTGGAATTTATAATGTAACTAAATTAACTTACTTTTTCTACTGTGAATTACCAAAGCACTTATAGGAAATATAATTTAAATTTTTTATTTTATTATTTTATTTTTATTTTTAAATATTCTTTTCTGGATTAAAAAGTAAATAAATGAGCAAATAAAAAGTGGATCATCAATATTAGACTATATGATATTTAAATGGATAATAGTGACAATTATTTTGTCTTGGCTTTGCAGGAGGAGATCGAGGCATGCTGTGAACTTCTACAGGAGAGATGTAGACGACTGGGTTCAAAGATATCTGAGCTTCTTGTTCTGCCCATCTATGCCAACCTGCCCTCAGACATGCAAGCCAAGATCTTCAACCCCACTCCGCCTGGAGCACGCAAAGTAAGACCCGCATAACCTTAGCCTGCCAGCAGGGGGTAGCATGTATGTACAAGTCTGCACATATTTGAGTCAAAATATGGGTCTTTTTAAAGGTGTTTAGTTACCAGTATAACGGTGTAAGTAATTTAATAAGCACATTAAGTATTATTAAGTATTTAAGTAATGTGCGTTGAAAACCAAATGTCAAAATATGGATAAAAAATAATGTTCAGTGGAATTTTCACGTCAGTTTATAAACTGACTGTATTTAATAAAATATATAAAAGAATTGCGGTAATTTTACTGAAATAAATGTGATTTTTAAATGCTATACACCAAAAAACTACAAGAAAAACTAGCTATTTTAGAGATAACTGCAATCTAGCAAAGTTGAAAGCTTTAAAAGGACAATTTATTTGTATTTTTGCTATTTGATTCTCAAAAAGAGTCTTTTAATATGATACAACTGTTCTAAAGTGACCTGACAGGATTATTTTGGGACAAACTATTGTTGCACTTAATGATCTTTTAAAGGGTTTACCCTTTAGAGTTTAGACCTTCAGAGTTTCTTCTGAATCAAATTGATGGTAAAATGTGTCAAAGATAAACCTGTGATTTTAAAAATGTCATCTAATTCATTATATGATGTGCTGAATAATCTAATTAATTGCACTTAAATAACAAAAGATCTGCTTTTACTGGCTTTTTTATCCCTTGGTTTGGGACTAGTGGAGCTGTGCATCGATGGATTTGCTCTTCAGTGTTTGAACTTTCAGTAGTGATAATTAAACCACACTAAACTAAACTAAACTGAACTTCAATTCTGATAACTGGACTGACACCGTTTCAATTTACTAGAACTTCTATGTTCAGCTGCTTTGACACAATCTACACTGTTAAAGCGCTATACAAATCAAGATGAATTAAATTGAATTGAATTACAAGCTTATGTCTTATTCTACAGCTCAGTGTGGAGTCAGGGTGTAGGTAAAATATTTAATTTGGGCATAAAATTCACTGTTCAGTATATTTTTGGGTGTTTAAGCCACCGTTTGGTTAATTTTCAGTATGGTTTAAGAAAATGCAGAATTTCAAATTGCTCGTCTTTTTTATTATTATTAACATTTGTGAATATCAATAGGTTTTTGACCCGTTTACTTGGTAGTTCAGACATTCTTGATACACCAGGACTGTCTTTTTTTCCAAGAACACGAAATTACACGTTTAGCTTCCAGTAAACATAAAAAAGGAATCCCCTACAAGGCTAACTTTTTTACTCTGTAGCCAGTGCTCCCAACTTCCAATATTTAGGAGCACCAAAAAAATTTAGGAGCACCAGAAATTTTTTTTAGAAGAACCCACCAAAAATCAATTAGGACTAACAAAAACCAGAAACAACTATCTAACTAATGCTGAGATGACATTGATATTTGTGTGCAATAATTCCAAAATGTATGTCTAATCATTATAGATATTAATGATGATGAAAATGAAAATAATAGAAACAATGAATTACATTTCTCATCATCATGCTGCCTTGAATGTGCTTAAATGTGAGTTATCTGCTATAAAAAGTCTGTTACTTTATGAAAAATAAATGAAGCATTGCAGTAAGAATTATTTATTTTGAACTATTGTTTTTATATGCATGTCAATTTAATAAATAACATTTCAGCTACAAAACAAACAAAAGATTTTAATAAATCATTCAATTCAATGCTGAAAGCTGCAAAACAGTCATCAGTAACTAAATAGAAATATAATATACATCTCAATAAAGAACGGACAAAAGAAAGTAAGAAAAGTCTCACTTCACTCTTTAAAAGTTTTGTTTTCAGTTTGTGTCAATTTGAATGTTCAGTCTGAGCTGATCTTCATTTTTCTGTGTTTGTGGAAAGCAGGCGTGTCAGTCAGACCAATATATAAGCAGGCAGAGCAGGATTCTCGCGATGACCAGCAGCGCAATACCGCTCTTTGTTATGAGCCGCAGATTCAGTGTAAACTTAGTAAAGGCGAGCTTCTTTGGCGATGATGTATATACAATGTTAGGTTTTACATTACATTACAGCGGACATTTTCGCTGAACACGCAGTGAATGCAACGCATCAAGATTCAGGGACCTTCTCCGAAAACACTCGATTGATCTCGGCTGGCAGATCAACATTCACCACATGTCAATACCGCTCTCATCTGCGCCTCAACTTTAGGTGGGGTTTGTAAACTTGGGTGCTTTTCACTCTTCAGCCATTTGCATTTCCTGTGGTTATTAAAGCTCCCTCCCTGTCATTTAACAGCGGAAAGCCTTGAGTGATTGATAGCTAATATGAACTAATATAGCGGTAGGGAAGAGCGATTCAGCATGTTTTTAGAAAAAATCTAGACTGGTCGCACTACACCCATTATATGCAGTCGCACAAATGCTCCCAAATATATTATGAGGTCGCATAGATTATTTTCGTGTGCATATGCGACCAAAATAGTCACAATTTCGAGCCCTGCCCTAAATGTAAACTGTGGCTTGGAGAAATTGCCTCTGTTACATTTGGAGCAAATTAGATGGTATTTGAAAACTAAACTTGAACAATTTGACAAAATTTTGAATGCTTTTAACTGTTACCTTGAAAAAAAACCTCTCATCATAATGCATCATTTCTGTAATGTTTTAATATGCTTTTTCATCATACTTTGTTGTTCAAACAGATCTTTGTTACAAGTTTGCTTGTTATGTGGGTGGAGTTTTTTATTTTTAAAAATAATTTTCATGTTGTTTTTCCTTTTTAAATGTATTTTCTTATTTTATGTATAAACAGAATTCTTGTCTTCTTCAATAAAACTTATTTGACAAAACAAAAAAAAAAAGTTTCCAGTAAACATGAAAAACGAACAGCAATATTTTATGTTTAGTCACATAAAAAGTTTAATAAACAAATATGCAATATACACAAGCTGGGATCAAAAGGGATTACTTACTAATGATTTGACTTTCAGTATTTTACACAAAAACATTCCTGTTTTGGTGTGTGTTTTTAATAATGTATTTATTTTAATAATGTGTTTATTTTTTGTACTCCAGGTTGTAGTGGCCACAAATATCGCAGAGACATCTCTCACCATCGACGGCATCATCTATGTGATCGATCCGGGATTTTGCAAGCAAAAGAGCTACAATGCAAAAACAGGAATGGAGTCTCTCATTGTCACTCCTTGTTCACGGGTAAGAAAATGGAATTATCCAGACACAATTATCTTTTAATTACCTAAATATATCATATAAAGATATATATCCAGACACTTTTTCTGGTTGTATATTTTTAATCAGACATGTTCACTTTTTATTTATGTAAAATAGCTCTAATCTTGATCCATGTGTACAGGAAATATTGACATAAGTTTGCGTCACTATTTTAAATCTTTATGCTATGGTGAACTTTTGTGTTTAATATGTTGTTTTATATGAATATTTTAAGGGTAATGTTTAAAAAGGTGTCTTCTGGAGTAATTTTAGAATATTTATTATTAATTAAACCAAAAGATTACACATAACTTGTTTTAGTGTTGTTGTATGTTTTTTTTTGTGCAATAAATGTTTATTAGGAAAATCGATATGATTGCATTTCATTCATTCATTAATTTTCCTATGGCTTAGCCCCTTTATTCATCAGGGGTCACCACAGCAGTATAAACTGTCAACTTATCTAGTATATGTTTTACACAGCAGATGACTTTCCAGCTGCAACCCATCCATACACACTTATTCACACACATACACTACAGCCAACTTAGTTTATTCAATTCACCCTGATTGCATGTTATATATTGTACATTTATCATAGGTTTTGCTGTGAATAAAGCCAATGCTTTGCTGATAAGCCATTAAAACATGAATAAATATATGTTGCTTTAAATGTGAATTAATAGTGAGTGATGTGTTTTATTATGATGCAGGCCTCAGCCAATCAGAGAGCTGGCCGTGCAGGCAGAGTGGCTGCTGGGAAATGTTTTCGGCTGTACACTGCCTGGGCGTTTAAACATGAGATGGAGGAGACCACTGTTCCTGAGATCCAGAGAACAAACCTGGGCAATGTGGTTCTGCTGCTCAAAAGTCTTGGTAAGAACGAATGAATTAGTTTTTTTTTTTCATGTGTGTGAATAGGAGTAAAACATACCTGAAATATTAAGACACATAAGCAGTATTTAGATATGCATGAATACCATTTCATTTAATACAAAACATTTAATACTTAAAAGTACCTGAATTTAAAACATATGGATTCAAGGCATAGAAGGCACTTAAGATCAAACATAGATCCTTGAAAGTGCTTGAAATAAATATGAAATTAAATTTGTTTGTGGTTTTACTTTAACAACTGTGATCAATTTAAAATCGAATCTCTATTAATAACGCTGACAAACAACCACATTTCATCAATATTTCAGAAACCGCATTTCAGTATCACTTGTATTGAATTCAACAAATTTCTTTAAAGTTCTTTAAAAAGGACTTTTTTAAACTTTACTCTGACGTTTTTTATGCAAATTTATATGCAAATAAAATGTTAAGTACAGTAAGGACTTTCATGACGCTACATATTCAGGGGTGTGAATTACAAGGGTGCTTTATTCAAAATGAATGACGCTTTAAAAAGTCCCTGAAAGTCTGTTCGGAAAAATGTGGGAATCCTGTTTTAAAGACAGTTTTTTTTAACAAGTATGTAAAAATTAGGACAGTTGTGTAGTAAAGTTGTAAAACTATTTTATGCAAGAAAAGTTTGAGATTTCAGTCTGACAAAAAGAAGTCATATTTTATCATGTGACTTTTGGCTGAGAATTGTTAGAGGATCATTTTTAGCTGATGTGATGCACCTGGTAAAATATGTGTGGACTGACTTCATAGACTTAAAAAAAAGTTACTTATGTTGTTTATTTACTGTATTTAATTGATCAAAAAACAATATAAATTGTAAATGTATGAAATATTTTCACAAAGTAATGGTTTTCTAATTTAATATATTGTCATTAATAATATATTCTTTTGATAGACTACATATTTGACCTCATTAGTCATCAGTGTCGCATGAATTTTTACAATTCATTTGAATATTAGGATTTAGTGGTTATGACATATTACTTAGTATCAACAGGGTATCCGTGGAGTCTTAAAGTCTTACTTTTCAAAAAACTAATTTTAGACCTTAAAGTCTTAAACTTTTTATTAAAACTTTTTTAAAAAAAAAGTTAATTTAATTTAATTTAATTTTTTTTATTTTAAAAAAAAAAAATTTTATTAAAAAAAAAATACACAATTCCTCATGATAATAACAGCAATATAGCCCCTTACATAGACTTCCACTTACATAAAAACTATTCACTGGAGTAAGTGTGAGTAGACATAATATTTAGAAATAGGCATGAAACTTAAGGTATTAAAACAGAAACCCATTAAGTTGAATAGGAGTCATTTAGACCAAAAGCAAACAACGATATATTTTTAATTATTTGAGTAGTTTTCTTCATAAAAAAAATACTTTTAACAATGTTAAACTAAGTTTTTTTTTAACATAATGTGTCAAAACAACTGCAGTTTTCTTGTTTTGATGAAAATGTTTTTCTTGTTTTGATTTGATGAAACTTGCAGAAACCCAGATCAGTTTTTAAAATGTATGTGCATCTATATTTAAATGGTTTACATGCAAATCTCCAATTACAGTGAGCATTTTTCTTAGCCCCTTACGTTTGTGTTCAGTTATTTCACATTGAAAGTGATGAAATGACTTAATCTAGACATAGGATTTTGCATCTGAACTCTTCATATTTTTGTGAACTCCTTTCTTTTTTCTACAAAATGTAATACTTAAAAATTATAATGAATTTACTGTCACTTTTAATAATATAAATACATCCCTGCTAAAGATTTATACTGTCACCCATCAAGGATACAGTATAATGATGACAACGTCTGAATGCTAAAAGTACATCTAATATAATCACCCCAGACTAGCTGGTTTTAATGACCTAGAAAGTTAGCTCTGAATGACATACACACATGCTTACGTGTCCAAATACTTGGTGGTGTCATTGTACTAAAGTATTAATGTTACATGCCTTTGTAGTTATTTTTATCTTGATGGATCGTGTCAGTTTTAGTAATTGAATTGTTCACGCATGTGTAAAAAGATCTGACCCTCGTTCTTTTTCTGAAATCAAACACACATTGTGTACATAAGATCTAATGTGTTTTTTTCCTTCATCTCTGCTGCAGGCATAAATGACCTGATTCATTTTGACTTCATGGATCCTCCTCCTCATGAAACTCTGGTGTTGGCTTTGGAGCAGCTCTATGCTTTAGGCGCCCTCAATCACCTCGGCGAACTCACTAAGGTGCGATTAAAAAAAACACACACATTAAAACGCTTTTATAGCCATATAATTATTCTGTATTAGATTGTGGTTTCAAAAAACATGTGGTTTTCTAAAACCTTATGAACTTGGTTCACTCAGAATTGTGTTTACTATAAAAAAAGACATAGACGGGTGGGTGTCAATCAGGTCAAGCCATTACAATGAACTGTTCAACACAGCATATTAAATAGAAACAGATTATTGATTGGGACATCAATTCTTTTCAAGAACTGGAATTATTTTCAAGAGCTGTCCCTTCCTTATAGGATTGAGTTGTAGAACTAACTAGCTCGTCTTAAGCCCTGTTCACAGTGACTACGTTTACATGAACATCCATAATTCGATTTTATTGCGTTTAAGACAATACTCTAAGAGTCTACCATGTAAACAGAGATTTTTATTAATTTAATTATCTTAAGGTCATAATTGAACTAAAGAGAAATCAAATTTAGACGTGTGGAGTATGCTGATTTTAGTCGCATTATTGAAGTGCAGTACAGGCATGTAAACACCTTAATCGAACTATTACCGTCATGTAGGACTTTTTGTCGCGTTTTGCAACAGGATAGTCCACAAACACACCCACATGGCTGTTTGACTCTCTACCCCTCTCTGTGGTCTGCACCTACCCAGTCAGTGCAGACCACAGACACCTGCATTGTGAAATGCGAAGGCTTTTTTTCTACCATTCAGCATGCGGTATGAACTTCCATTTAAACAACACTCTTTCAGCAGTTCATAGTTGCATCCAATATCTCGCTTGTCACAGGGGTGTGCATGAAATGTTCGTGAATGAAAGTGAAAATGCCAAACTGCAGCGAAAAATTAAAAATGAAACACCTGGAATTACATGCAACTTCGGAGGAAATGCGAATTGCGCCGTGACGCAATGATGCTAATCGAATTATGTGCTGTAACATGTAAAAAGGGATCATGAAAGTAACACTCAAAAAGCAACTCATGTAAACACCTTAGTCTTATTATTGTCTTAATTAGATTAAAGCAAATAAATTGATTACTGATGTCCATGTAAACGTAGTTGCTGTGAGATTTTAACCACGATTTTGTCATCTGAGTCAATTTTGGAAAATCCTAAATGATTCCTGAAATCCCAGGCTAAAATCTGTGATCTTTGATCGTTGGTTTGACATGTTTACAGACAGCCGCCTAATGCCCGTTGCAATCAGATTTTTCCTCAGATGAAGTTCTAGCAGTGTCAGAAGATTTCAGACTCCGAATTTGATGACGCAATCCGTGCGACAATTCAAATGACTGCGGGGAAATGTCAAACAGTTTTATCCTCCTGGTTTTGTCATTGAGACACGGCGTGTGCAATATTGCCGCTACAGATTGTTTACGTTTGCTGTGAGGAATCATTTCAGAATGCGGGATAGTGAATGTGTCACAGATGGATGAGGTCAAACTTCGGGGATGTTTTCTTTTGTTTTTGGCGCTATTACATTGTCGTTCAGTCTGACTTTATGACTGCTGAGATCTTATAGTGCGACATGGGAGCCATATTCGTGCACTCTGACATGCTACAATTGTTCAGGATTATAAAAAAATCGCACGGTGTGAGCTGGCCTTTATATGCAGATAGGTAAGCTTATCCTATACTATAGAATATGGTCCAACTGCTTAAAGGATTAGTTGACCTAGAACATTTAATTTCCTCACCATTTACTAACACTCAAGTGGTTCTTAACCGAATATCCAGACGTCACGCTTTCTTGAAATGTTTTAGGAAACTACTTAAGACTCATCTTTTTATTAAAGCATTTCATTTATGATTTATCACTGTCATTTTTAATGCAATTTGTAATTGTGCTTATTTATTGTTTATATTGATTATTGTGGTTTGTCTTATTTTTTTGTCTTCAGTGTTTGGCACTAGCTTAACTACATTTCTCAGTAGCGTGGCAATAGTGTCGCTACTTTCTAATTCCAATAATTTTTCAGTAGCGCAGTAGCATCCACAAAGCTAAATTTACAGATCGCAGACTAATAAGTGATGGCACTGACATTCACAGAGCTGTGAGGTCGGTGTCTATCAGGTGAGAGTAAATCCATATGATGGCGAGAAGGACAATTTCTTCTTCCTGTTTCGCTGTTGTTGACAATAAAATTTTTGGTGTGTTACTGCCACCTCTGGTTGGTGACATTGCCAACCAAATTAAGCTAACACAAGAAACTTGCTTGATGGAAAGATGATGACTGTGGGAGAGGAGTTATTTCTGAAGCAGGATTTTGTGGACTGGTTTAGCATAGGTTTTTTTAATGTGGAAAATGTTTGATTAATCACTTATGGAAATCTTCCAACGTCTAGCTTGTACCATCCAGGCCTTTGATCAATGTTAATGTCATCAAAGAAATTGGCTTGACACAAACAGAAAGCTGACAGGTCTGCTGCGCCAGTAACATGACTGAATGCACGTGCTTCAGTCCACTCATACTCATGCAGTGGATTATAAGAAAAATTCTGTTTGTTAGTTTTGATCTTTTTGACTACGCTATGGTCTCATCTTTTTTTCATCAACGATAATGTGCTTTTGTTTCATTTGATGAGCAGATGAGAGTTTTCAAAGTTTTAAGTCACTGTTACTAACACAGAAGACCTCTTTGCAGGGCATCTGCTGGGTTTTAAAAAGTCTTAAAATGTCTTAAATTTTAGGCCTTAAAAAGTTGTGTTGTAGGTATTAAAACATTTTAAACAAGTCTTAATTTTCCTATGTCCATGAAAAGCTGCCCAATCTGTTATGTGATTGGAAAAACACATCCAATCACATAACATTTCGTCTCAATACAAGTTTTGACAAAAGTTTATTTAAATAGATAGACTCTCGTTACCAAAATGGTTTAATTATCTTTCTTACATTAACATTTGTTTTTAATGATTTTTTAATGTTTTAACTGGGCCATTAGAAGAAGAAGAAGAAAGTCTTTAATTTGACTTGAAACCTGTAGAAACCCTGTCTTTGTGTCAAGCTATGGGCAACTAATATTTGCCACCCTTATTTTCATTTCACAAAGTTAAAGGTTCACCCAAAACTGAAACCTCATTAACACGCCCTTTACTTGTTCCAAATCTTTTTGAGTTTCTTTCTTCTGTTAGACTGCAAATAAGATATTTTAAAAAATTCCTGTAAACCTGTAACCCGTGACTTCCATGGTAATTGTTTTTCTACTATTGAAGTCAATGGTTACAGGTTTTCAGCATTCTTCAAAATATCTTAATTTGTGTTCAATTAAAGAAAGAAGCTCTTAAAGCCACTTGATGGAGAGTAAAATAAGTACATTTTCATTTTTGCGTGAGCTATCTCTTTAAAACTGGCTTTGACCTGTTTTTGTTGTGTTTTAATAGCTTGGCCGAAGGATGGCTGAACTTCCTGTTGACCCGATGCTGAGTAAAATGATTCTGGCTTCTGAACAGTAAGTCTAATCTTTCAAAAAAACATCCTTAGTTTTCTTTTTTAGGGTGTCCGTAGAGATTTAAAAAGTATTAAAAGTCAATTTACAGAATTTAAAGCCCTTAAAAAGTCTTAAATGCTATTTTACAAGGTATTAAATTGTGTCAGTATGCTAAAGTTTGCCTGAATGTAATCTGCGTGTATCGGGATGCTGTGCAGTTTATGAAATCAATAAAATCCTGCTAGATTTGACATCACGCTGATTTTTTTTACTGCCGTAGCCAAGTAAACACAGTTATTCCTACTGTTATAGATGCTGATTTTTAAATAATATTTTAGTTTAGGATTAGTTTCTTACAATCAGTATTTAGTAAATACACTCACTGGCCACTTTATTTGGTACACCTTGGACCCCCTTATGCCTTCAGAACTGCCTTAACCATTTGTGGCATAGATTCAACAAGGTACTGGAAATATTTCTCAGGGATTTTGGTCCATATTGACATGATAGCATCACACAGTTGCTGCAGATTTGTCGGCTTCACATTCATGATAAGAATCTCTCACTCCACCACATCCCTGTGGACTGTGAAGGCCATTTGAGTACAGTGAACTCATAGTCATGTTCATAGTCTGAGATGATTCACGCTTTTATGACATGGTGCGTGATCCTGCTGGAAGTAGCCATCAGAAGATGGGTACACTATGGTCATAAAGGGATAGACATGGTCAGTAACAATACTCAGGTAGGCTGTGGCGTTGACACAATGCTTAATTGGTACTAATGGGCACAAAGAGTGCCAAGAAAATATCCCCAACACCATTACAACACCACCACCAGCCTGAAACGAAACGAAACGAAAGGAAGGATGGACCCATGTTTTCATGTTGTTAATGCCAAATTTTTCACCCTACTATCAGAATGTCGCAGCAGAAATGGAGACTCATCAGACCAGGCAATGTTTTTCCAATCTTCAGTTGTCCAATTTTGGAGACCCTGTGCACATTGTAGCCTCAATTTCCAGTTCTTACCTGTTCTTAATTTTTTTGTCTTGTTTCTAGTCCAAATATCTAAAAAATCTAAAATCAATAAGAATTTTCTAGACAAGCAAAACATAATGTCTTGTTTTCAGAAATAATATGCCAATATTAAGTGAGTTTGTCCTTAAAACAAGCTAAATAATCTGCCATAGGGTAAGCAAAATAATCTCATGTCAAAAGGAAAAACAAGATTATTTTGCTTACCCCATTGGCAGATTATTTTGCTTGTTGAATTTTTAGATGTTTGGACAAAAGCCAAAAAGTAAAAAATCATTTTTTGCAGTGCAGGAGTGGCACCCGGTGTGGTCTTCTGCTGCTGTAGCCCATCCGCCTCAAGGTTGGACGTGTTGTGCATTCACAGATTCTCTTTTGCATACCTCAGTTGTAATGAGTTATTTGAGTTACTGTTACCTTTCTATCAGCTTGAACAAGTCTGGTCATTAGAAATTTGCGTTAACAAGCAGTTGTGCAGGTGTACCTAATAAAGTGGCCGGTGTGTGTATATTGTAATTAAAAATGTTTGCTAATGCTACCGGTTGCAACCTAAAGTGGTGATGAGGTCTTAAATGTATGGTAAGAGTCTTTAAAATGGTCCTGAAAGGTATTAAATTTCACTCTGATTTCTGTATGTACCCTGTTTTCGTTGGTCATTGATTGCTTATTGATCTGTCTCTCTGTAGATATAAGTGCTCTGAGGAGGTGTTGACCATTGCGGCCATGCTGTCAGTAAACAACTCCATCTTCTACCGGCCCAAGGACAAAGTGGTCCATGCCGACAACGCTCGGATGAACTTTGTGGTACCAGGAGGAGATCACCTAGTGCTGCTTAATGTATATACACAGGTGTGTTTATGAGTGTGGCGCTCGAATCAGAAGTCAATCTGATAGCTGAGGCTTCGCACGTTTTTTATGACCTGCCAAGTGTGTAAAGTGATCCATTTTGTTATTGTCAATCTCATTTAGTGTGACTTCCTTATGGGAGACGTGCAGCAGGCAGATAGTCAAACAGGTTCTGCAAGATCGTGCAGGCATGTGTGGGTACATGTAGATGCTGTGGCAGGAAGTTCTTGTCTTGAACAAATATAACTCTGGAATGAACAGCCTTTTGTGAGAACGATTGAAAAGTCAATTCCAGCACAGCATTTGGGCACTCAGATGTAAATCAGTAAACTACAGAATTGCTCAATGAGTGATGCTATAGATCAGTTTGTTTATTACAGTTGAATTATTCTATGGTCTGTTAAATTCTTGATTCCCATTGGCTGGAAGTTAAAATTCAATAGTTTTATTTGTTTAAGTTAAAACGGTTTAATCATTAATAAAAGGTAGTTTCAGTCAGTTTTGCTCACAGTTAATAATAATAAAATAAATCCCCTAGCCTCAAATGTTAGTAGAGACCATAGTAACTCACTGACAGTTGCCTACTTGCTGTGTGCTAAAGGATTTTAGATACAATTCGTAGAGCAGGGATCACCAAACCGTCCTGCAGATTTTAGCTCCAGCCTTAATCAAACACACCTAAACAAGCTAATCAAGGTCTTACTAGGTATACTTGAAACACTCAAGCAGGTGTGTTGAGGCAAGTTGGAGCTAACTCTGCAGGGCACCAGACCTCCAGGAACGAGATTGGTGATCCCTGTCGTAGAGACTCCACTTCATTTTTGTTTGCCTCAGCGTCTTGCATTTAAAATCCTTTAACGCACTCCAAATGACAAATCAATGATTGATTATCCCTGACTCATTTGATCCTAATTGTGTTTGACTTTTGAATCTCACACAAGTTTGTCTTACAGTCAGTTGAAGCTTTGAAACTCACCTATGCTTATTTTTGTTTTATATACAGGGTGTCCGCGGGGTCTTAAAAAGTATTAAAAGTTGATAAATCAATTATGAGAAAATTAAGGCCCTTAAAAGGTATTTAAAAATGTTAATCGCGTTTTTATGAGGTCTTAAATTTTGTTCAAGCGTTGTCCAAAGTGTTTGACTGCAAAAAAGCATAACTATATTTATTTTTCCCCTAATATTAACAACTGTGTGGGCGTTGAGCTGCTACCAATGGAGGAGCAGAAGCCACGTTTTCTCCACCGTAAACATTTATTACTCAGACAGAAATAAACAAAATAATATCTAGATATATAGTTGAGGACATGCTACTGTTATCTCTCACATTGTCCCACAACAACATTAAAATATTGTAGATTTGTGTACAAGGTTATGTTTAATTTATATTCATTTGACTTTAGATTTTTTTAAAGTAACACAATAGTTACTTTACCTAGTAATTAGTTACTTTTATAATTATGTAGCTCAGTTACTACTTGTGAGAAGTAACTATAGCTAATAACTTTTTTAAAGGAACATGCCCAACACTGCTCATAAATATTTGTGGCTGAATCAGTAAAAGAAAGTGAAAAATGGGTTCATAAGAGTCTGTGATCATGCATGTTATTGTTGCCATGAAAAAAAATGTGTTTATTTTCTGTCTTTCTCTGTCAGTGGGTCGAAAGCGGTTACTCTACTCAGTGGTGCTTTGAAAACTTCATTCAGTTTCGCTCCATGAAGAGAGCTCGAGATGTCCGAGATCAGCTGGAGGGGTTGATGGACAGGATCGAGGTGGAGCTGTGCAGCTCCAATGGCGACAGCATGCCCATTCGCAAGGTGATTTCCTCATTTACCTTTACATTGCTTCCTTTTACACATTTCCTCCATTGATATTGTGGTTAAAGCCTGCTTTGCATGTGATTATTATCTTAACTTTATGGTACCTGGAGTTTAGCGTTGTAGACTGATGTTTTGAGACACTTTCACTTATTGGTCTGAAGATGTGGCAAAAAAGATTGAAGCAGAATTGATAGAGCTTAAATCATTCTATGGCACCAGAGTTTTTGGTCTAGGTTACAGCTTTTGATGATTGTTGAGCAATGATGTCATATTTAAACAAATTTAAAAAGGGGATTACAGTTTGAAGGGAATCAATGTCTTGCATATATTTGTTTTTTAGTACTTCCTGATCGGAAAGAGACTTTTGTGGTGCTATGAATCATCAGTATTTAAATACATGTGTTTGACATTAGAACATTTCTGCAGGGAGACAAACACAGTAGCTGAATGCGTACATATATGTTGACTGTGTGTTGCTCTGTTAAGCAGATGCATTACTGTTTTTAAAGGTGTTTGGAATTGATGAATCATGTTAGGTGACTAAGAATAATTCCTGGCATGAGTAACAACAATGTGCACAAATCCAACTTGACTGATTTCAGCCTCAATGGAAGAAAAGGGTGGACCATTCAGATACAATGAATCAGGCTTATGTACACATTTGACTAAAGAATTCCACAATTGACCAATCAGAATCAACAATTTTAGAACGCTGTACATATTTGATTATAGAATGCTACAATCAGCCAGTCAGATTCAAGGATTACAGAGAACTGTACACATTTGATCATAGAATCCACAATTGACCAATCAGCATTAAGTATTTCAGTGCACGGCACATATTTGACTATAGAATGCTACAATTGGCCAATTAGTATTAAGTATTTCAGCGCACTGTAAAAATTTGGCTATAGAATGCCACAATCGACCAATCAGAATCAAGGATTTCTGAGAACTGTACAAATTGGACTATAGAATGCCACAATTGACCAATCAGAATTAAGGATTTCAGAGAACTGTACATATTTGACTATAGAATGCTACAGCTGACCAATCAGAATCAAGGATTTCAGAGCACTGCACCTATTTGACTATAGAATGCCACAATTAACCAATGAGACTTAAGTATTTCAGAGAAGTGTTTAATGAACTTATACATTACAATGAATTTTACCTAAATGTTTGTGCATGTTTTTTTCCTTCTTCCAGGCAGTAACTGCGGGATATTTCTACCATACAGCACGGTTGAGTAAAGGGGGATATAAAACGGTAAAACACCAGCAGACAGTTTACGTCCATCCCAACAGCTCACTGTTTGAGGAGCAGCCGCGATGGATGATCTACCATGAGCTGGTCTTCACCACCAAAGAGTTCATGAGACAGGTGAAGACTGCCTTCACTTTTTTTTTCTGTTTAATTCTTGAGGTTAGGGATCTGAACAGACTGGTTTTTAGTCACTTGTGAGCCTGTAAAAACACAACAACACACCTAATACAAACAAGCTTCCTCTCTGCATGGTTCTAAAACAAAAAAATTAAGAAAAGAGTTATAAGGTGAGTCAAAATAATTTTCTTCTTTGGGAGAAAAACAGTTGCATTATGTAAAATAAACTTTAAGGAAAAAAGTAAATATTGTGAGAGTCACAATAGTTGGAGAAAGTGAGATATGTATGGAGTTGCAAGAGGAAAAATACAAAAATGTGAGATGCCAACTCCAAAACTTTTGTCCAAACAATTGTGAATTGCAGGATGTGAACTTAAAATTTTGACAAAATAATTGACCAATCAGAATAAAGTGTTTCAGAGCACTGTACATATTTGACTATAGAATGCTACAATTGACCAATCAGTATTGGGTATTTCAGAGCACTGTACATATTTTATTATAATATGCCACAATTGACCGATCAGAATTAAGTATTTCTGAGCATTTTGCATTTTTGACTGTAGAATGCCAAAGTTGATCAATCAAAATTTAGTATTTTAGAACATTGTACATATTTGACTACAGAATGTCACAGTTTACCAATCAGAATTGGGTATGTCAGAGAACTGTACATATTTGACTATAGAAGGCTGCAATTGACCAATCAGTATTGAAGATTTTTGAGCACTGTACATATTTGACTATAGATTGCCACAATTGACCAATCAGAATTGGGTATTTTAAGAGAACTGTACATATTTGACTATAGAATGCCACAATTGACCAATCAGAATTGGGTATTTTATGAGAACTGTACATATTTGACTATAGAAGGCTACTATTGACCAATCAGAATAAGTATTTCTTGAGCATTGTGCATTTTTGACTATAGAATGCCACAATTGACCAATCACAATTAAGGATTTTTGAGCACTGTACATATTTTATTATAAAATGCTACAGTCGACCAATCAGAACTAAGTATTTCTGAGTACTGTACATATTTGACTTCAGAATGCCATAACTGACCAATCAGAATTGGGCATTTCAGAGAACTGTACATATTTGGCTTGGTCTGTCTCTTCGGTCATCTAACCAGAGACTGTTATGCATCCCTAAGTCGAGGCTGAAATGCAGAGGTGACCGTGCCTTCGCAGTAGCTCGTCCTAGGATGTGGAATTCTCTGCCCCTCTGTATTAGATCTGTTTAATCCCTGTCTGTTTTTAAATCTAGGTTGAAAACTTATCTCTTTGATTTGGCATTTTATCAGTATTGTTTTTTCTGTTTTGAGTTGTACTGTGCATTGGTCAAACTCTGGTTGTGTTAAATATGCTATGTTTAATTAAAATTGACATTGACATTTGATTGTACAAAACTACAAAATTCAGAATTGCGGGATTTGAACCAAAAATTCCAACAAAATAATTACAAATTTTGAGATTTAGGCTTTGAATTCTGAGGAAAAAGTGAAAAACTCCAAGATATAGAGTATATATATATATATATATAGAGTATAAATTGTGAGAATAAAGTAAAAATTTCAAGACAGAGAGTCAGAATTTTGAGAAAAATGGTGGGAGTTAATGGTAAACACTTTTGTAAATGGTAAACACTTGGTAAAATATTTCTTCATAAAATATGAAAATCAGCTTCATTCTAAAAGTTTGACCTTTCTTTCAGGTGATCGAGATTGAAAGCGGCTGGCTGCTGGAAGTGGCTCCTCACTATTACAAGAACAAAGAGCTGGAGGACAGCAGCAGCAAGAAAATGCCCCGAAAACAAGGCAAAGCCCGCGAAGAACTGGGCTGATTCTCAGATAAGATGAGAAAAGAGACTCTCCCACCTAATATTGCTTCACAAACAGTAAGAGATCAGCAATGTGGGTCATTGTTGAGTGACCAGACCAGTCTCCTTTTGCTAATTTGCTGATCTATAGAAAGTATTTTGGAGACTCTTGATTTTATGTTTCAGCTAGCAGTGTCCTCATGTGTTTGAATGAGGAAATATATTTTTTGATTACAGATATGCATGTGCCTTTGTATTATTTTTATTTATATATTGATATGACTGCTTTTTGAAGAAAATGTGAAGGTTATTGAAGATGATTAAGATAAAATACCACACTGTCAAATCTTTTGATCTTCAGGAAAGAGATCCAGAAGCACAATAGGCATATTAATAGGATAAAATGATGCAGTGTTTAACTTAGGATTTTTCAGTATGAAAGGAGAAGGTTGTATTAATACAGAAAGGTTAATAAGTTACAACAGCCACTCCCTGCAGATTGTCGAAATATTTGCTTATGGATATAAATTTAGAGCAGACGATTAATCTTTTTGTACATGCATATTTTAGATTTTTAGTAGTTTTAATGGTCAGATTTATTTTTTAAAAAATGTATTTGTAGTTTTAGAAGCTTAATTTTGTCCCTCATAAAGTTCTCATCAGGTTGTTTAATGTATAGCCAGCAGTCAATGATTGTTTATTTCCAGTCATTCGTACGTTTCGCCTAAAGCTCCTGAATGATTAGAAATTAGCTGTTAGTCAATGAGTAACTATAGTAGTAAAATCAGCTGTAGACAGAAATCTCATTTCCTTAACCAGAAATCCATCTGTCACTGTGTTATATGGTCACGTTTTATTACATTATGGTATTTTTACAATACCTCCAAGCACATCAGTTGATCTTGACGAAGATTTTAAAGGTAATCTAGGCCTGAAGATAATTACAGGTCATTGCCTTTTCATGTAACTTTCTAGACCAGCACCGATTTTGACTTGATTTCTTGCTTTAATACTGTTTGATGTGACCAACTTTAAAGGTCCAGTGAAATTAAGATAGATATTACTATCAGTATTTTGGTGTTCAAGGATATCTAAAAGCCAGTGTGCTCCAAAACAATGACACAATTCACGTACAATAAGTTTGTAGTTTGTCACTTTCCCCTAAATGGATCAATGGTTTTATTCATGTCACCTCATACTTCAATTTCTCATTAAATCTTCACCAATCAAATGCTCCTTAGTATCCGACTTGCCCTGCAAGTCAGATACTAAACACTTCTCATTTGAGATACAGATACTAGACACTTCTCATTTGATGCGCTTGAGCTCAACCAGTCACTGATAGAGCGGTGATAAAGTGCTATTGGCTGCTTTTTTAATAGGGGAGGAGCTACTTTGTTTTTCAGTTAAGATTACGTTAAACATTGAATAAAAATGCACATTTCAAAGCACTTCACGCGATCTTTTCAAAATGCACGTTAAAAATGTAGATTTTCAAGTTTCGCTGCTCTCTATCTCACATCTGTGAATCAATCAACCCAATCTCTCCTTAAATTATTATTGTTTTTAGAAAATTAAAAATGGCAAAATAATCATGAAAAAACTTAAAGGAATATTTCACCCAAAATGACCTCTTATTTATTCTCCCTCATGTGGCTCTGAACCTTTATAAAATACTTTTTCGCAGGTTGCTGGCACCCATTTACTTCCATAGTAGGAAAGTCAGTGGTGTAAGCGACCAGCAAGAAAGAAGCTCATAAAATATCTTCTTTTGTGAGTAAATGGTGACAGGGTTAACAATTTTTGGATCAACTTTCTGTTTAAATGCTGATTTATACTTCTGAGTTAAGTGATCGGTGTTGACCAACGGGGCCTGTCTTGCGTGTAGTTGTGCATTTATACTTCTGCGTGCTGTTTGTGTTGCTCTGCAATAACACTTCTGAAACGCTAGCTGGCAGTAGGTTTTTATGTTCCTCTGTGTTGAGTTTCTTCACGAGTACTTTGTTTTTTCTAAATGCTACCTTACTGTACAAGTAGCTAAAACTCACTCATTCTTAAGCCGGGAACAGGCAGATGTGCAACAACTTTAATCATAAGGTAAACACAAAACAGGTTTCCATCTGGTGCTCCTTCACATGACTTGACACTTGTTAACACTCGTTCTAATGCTGCATTCACACTAGATGCAGAAGAAGCTTCAAGCGCGAGTGATTTACATGTTAAGTCAAGGCAAAGATGCGAATAGACATCCTGCGTCACTCGTGCAAATGAAGTGGCGTGAGCTAAGCGTTTTGCGTGATTAACGCGCGTATCGCTCGAATCACTTGAGTTGGAAAATCTGAACTTTAAAAGACATTCGTGCTGCGTTAACCTATTAGCAGTTAGCTCTTGTAGGGGAGTGATTATGACGTAGCGCCTGTTGAAATCCTCCTGCCGACACCAGACAACAGTTCATCAAACTTGGCTTGGTTCAGTCTGATGCACCGCTGAAAGCTTCCATCATCCAGGTATAGTTTCTGGAGGAGTTTATGAGCTTAGAGCTGGGTGCACCTCTAGGAATCTAGGTGACTCAACCACGGCTCGAAACGAAATCAACGCTGTTTTTCAGTCTTCCTAAAGCACACAAACACAGCTACTCTTTCAATAAAATCCATGTTAGCCATTTAGCAACAAAGCTAGAGTCACTGGGTAGACAGAAGCCCCGCTCATGACCCAATCCACATTTGTTGGGAAGTGAATTTGGCGCACAAATGAATAAACTCAAAATGTATTTGCGTCTATTTACAAGCGAATATCCGTGCGTACTGCGTCTGGTGAGAACACAACATAACAGGCTTGTGGCTCTCCCTTGGCTCTCAGCCCTACCCACACTCTTATGCTGACCAATCATAGAGCTTCCCCTACTCGTAGTCGTGATGTGTTGCATTTTTTTTAGAGGTGTGCATCAGCATTGATATGAGCCAAGGAGAGGGTTATATGACCGTGCCAAACCATGTCTGCTGAAGAATCAGCCTTAAACACGAAGATCCATCCAGAATCTTAAACGTCAATCAATTGTAAGCAGATTATAAAATTGTGCAAACTCCTTTGTATGGAAGGCCATTGTAGACAAACATTATTAATGAAATGTGAAATTGGTTTTTGTCAACATGCAGTTTGACTGTCAAGGCATAAATGAGTACAGCAACCAATGAAATAGCTGTATTTCATCATGTGACTGTTAGTATCCATGTTATCCATAGTAGGAAAAACAATGGAAAACTATGGATGTATATTCTTTCTTTAAAATATCTTAATTTATGCTCAGCAGAAGAGAGAAGATCAGACCAGTTTGTGACAAGTGGAGGATGAGTAAACGATGACAGAATTGTCATTTTGAGTAAACTATCTCTTTAAGATTTTGGCCCCAAATGCCTTCCATAAAACCAAATTTTACATATTTCAAAAAAAGCTTTTGTCCCTGATGGCCTTCCATAATTCATTGCCTATCAATTCAAAATGTAAAATAGTGAATGCAAAGTCCTCCAACAGTCCTATTTTTAGGAATAGATCAAATAAGCTAGTTTCCCGAGTTTACAAAACCTTCTCTGATGCTTTTATACAAATGAATCGCCTTACATTCTTCAAACCTGCAATCAGCTATAGCTATAGTACACCTTTAACCGCTGCTCAACCTTTGCCCTACAATCTAAAAACAGCCTGGAAATGTGATCCCCAAAGTGCAGTCGTGCTCATTTAGCAAAGCTGCTAATCCAGAGAGGTTTCTATAAAGGTTTCCTGTGTGTCTTGTTTGTCTTTGTTCTTTTGACAGCAACTCTCAATCCAGGATGAAAGTAAGGTAATAATGGGTATGCATGTGATAAAGTGAAGTTGCTCATGCCACAACAAACCTTTATTACCGACATAAACAACATTTTCAAATGCTGGAATGGGAGTGTTTCCTTCTCCCTTATCAGACTGTATAAATGCGCACGTGTGTGTGTGTTTTGAATATCATTAACCTTGTCACTTAATACATCAACAACTTCCTGGGATCTTGATAAATGTCTTTATATTTCCTGTTTAAATGGTGTTGATTTCCAGTTATGTGTCCTAGAGTAATGCATTCATTGGAATCCATTACAACATATAGGATATATACTCCCACACTCTATATTTGATCTATTTTTCTTAATTTAATTTTTAAGATTCATAGTGTCACTTTATTTAGGGTGACATACACTCAGATTATTATTATTATTATTTTATTATTATTATTATTATTTTGCAGCTTGGTCAAACAACTGATTTGAAATTAGCAAAGAGTCAATACAATTCTTGAGTTTTCTGGGGACAACTTAATTGTTTTATGTTCACTCCACTTACATTTGTAAAAACAATTAAGTTAACCTAATTGATTTGTGTTGGGACAACCTGAAGGAATTGTGTGAAACCCAGTATTTTTTATAGTATAGTGTTATATGTGCTTTCTATTGACTGTATTCTAAAATACAGAAGCGCGCCTGTTTTCGCGATTGTTTGAGAACTTCCGATTCAGTCGTCTATTGGAGAAATGACTAGGAATGATAAACGACAGAAAACGGTCAAGCTACTTGCTCTACAAACAAATGTTTGCATGACTATATAGACCAAGTAGAATAATATAATAAGAAAATATCAGTCTTCGCTCGTACGCAAAGAATACGGTGAATAGTAATTACAATGAATTATACACAAGTACATTTAAATAAATCTAAAAGTATTTTTTGTTACTAGTGTATTTTGTATACCAGTACTTAATCATTAGATTCTCTAACCTTTTAAAAAGTTACTCGTTCCTGTTTACTACATGCTAATATTTATTTGTTAGATACTAGCTCTTATTTATTACATACTAGTACGTATTCATTAGGTACTAAATTAAATAGATGCTACTAGTATATATTCAAAACAGACTAGTGCACATTTATTAGAAATGATTACATATTTAAAAGGTTTCTAGTTAGATTTTAGTTGGTAACATTTTTATTTGACCTCTACTACTCTGAATTCTACAAATTCATAAGATAAAAAAGCAGATCCGACTAGTGATTTAAGAATTGCTACTTGTATAATGACTATACATGGATAGCACTTTATTGTACAGTCCTGCGTGTAGTTTTCTTAGTCATAGTACTTAGTTATGTCATAAACTGGTTAGTAACTATAGGTATTATTGCTAATAAACCTACACCTGAACCCTACCCATGCAGTTACCTTATATAACTCTGTACTTTCTTTCATATGTACACTGTAAATACATGTTAAAGGGATAGGTTAATAACAACAAAATTATATATGTTCACTGTTCACTCACCCTCAAGTAGTTCCAAAACTAAAAGTTGCCAAAAAAGTTTCTTTGTTGAACACAAAAGGAGATATTGCTGAAAACCGGTAACCATTGACATCAATAGTAAAAAACAAATGAATAGTTATAAAACTGAATAGTGGATTTCTCAGTGACAAATTCACACTGTGATCCCGTCAGGAAAACTAAATTAGATGTGAAACCTGTAACTTCACAGAATTTGACCAAATTTTGGAATAAAAAAAAAAAAGTCTGTGGACACTAATAGTTTATCTTAGGGCGGACTCACACTATGTACAGTTGCCTTGAACCGGGCCAAAGCACGCTTGTGCACATTCGGGCCTGAGCACGCTTAAGTCATTGATGATGCGCTGTTCAGTAAGTGCTTCCGCTCAGCACAGTGGACATTGCTTTAGTTATATCGTTTTAGTCGTTTGGGATGCGGTGACACGCAGTGAAATTTTTCGCCGAACAGATCAGCCACTTTTGACGCACATAAACAATCATAAAGTCCTCGTGCTGCAGGAATTAGGAGGTTTGCTGAAGGTGCAGCTGTCGTGCAGTGAGGGGTTTGCATGTTATGACAGTTTGCGTTGATTGAACAGTAAGAATGATTAATAAATCCATATGAAACAGTCCCTTAAAAGTCACGTCTCGTCTTCAGTTTTGGCTCAGGCACGCTTTACACTACGAGCTTACCGCGCCAAAGCCAAAGTGAACCGCGCTCTGGTTTAAAAATAACTTATTTTAGAGCAGTAACCGTCTAACTGTGATATTTTTATCCAAGGTTATCATATCGTCAGAATCTTATACCAGCGCATGCCTACTAATGGTTACCCGAGTTCAATTCCCAGCTCGGGGTCATTTGCCGAAACTTACCCTCTCTCTGCTCCCAATAATTTCCTGTCTGTAACCTCCACTGTCCTATATAAATTAAAGGTGAAAAACCCTTTAAAAATTATCATAAAAAAATAAGTACATTGTGGAAAGAAATTTATTTTAGTGCACTTTTTGTCACCTGGAATATTGCATTGCAAAAATACCATATAAATATAGTCTGCACATTCTGAGCAAATGAATAGAGTGGATATGTTTACTACACACAGAGTCAAACATGCATGATGCTTATGGTATTTTTAGTGTTTGTCGTCTCACTATATGATGATATAAACACTTTACACGGTCAAACTGTGGGTTAAAATAAAAGCTCAGTTAGACTATTAAAAAGTGTAATATTGTACAGCATTTATAAAAATATAAACAGAATTTGAAGAAAAAATGTAAAACTTACTTTGAATGGTACCTGAAAATATTTTGATTTGTATTATTATTATTGTTATCATCATATGTTTTTTGATATTCTCTTAATTGTTTTGTTAAATTAAATACATTTCCCGATTTCGAGAATTCAACATGCTTTTTGTTCACTAAACTAATCTGTAGTGCAATATTAAAAGTGGAAAAAATATATCTTTAAAAATGAAAAAAACAATGTACAACACGTTTTTAGGTTTGGATTATGACTAGTTTTTCGACTTGCCCTGGTAAGTATTCACCTACAAATCACATTGACCATTATGCATCATCATTATTATTATTATTAATATTTGCATGAACAATATCCTGATTTATTTTTTACAGCAATAATTAAACCGGATCTCATTCAAGGTCAGCAGAGATGATGGAAAAAATAAAGCATAAGTACATTAGTCACTGGATTCCTCGCATTCAGACTGTTGTAAATGGCAGCAAGACAAGTTTAGCAGGTACGACAGGCGGGAGGAAGGCGGAGAGGAAAAACACACACAGAAGAGGTGGAGACACATGGCTTATGTTAACTAACTGATGATGAAAACCCTAGCGAATGGATTGAGGAAGTCAGAATGAAGAGCAGGTTGAACACATTTCACATCTTTATTGGATGAACAGCGGGAAAAATGAGCGACCCCAAAACATCAGGGCTCAACTGATCTTCAGCTCAGGTAGTTTGCATGGTTTTTTTACTCTTATTTCATTTGTACAATTACTTTTACTTGTTAAGGATGTGCACTTTTGTAATGCGTCTTCAGCATGCAAATGTTGGGAGTTAAGTAGTCATTAGTATACAAATGTTAAGGGGTGTTCATATTAATAATATGTGTATATATTGAACATGTTTTTTAAGAGAAAGAATTTATCTATTAGTGGTTTTGCATGGTGGGGTCAGTAGCTCAAAACACACAGATTTTTTATTAAATTTTTTGTTTTTTGTAAATTCTGCCATCCAGAACAATAATTCTGAATTTTTTTGTGCTTATTTTTATGATATAATTTGTGCTTTGTTTTTTTTTTTGTAGATTTATTTTTTATTGCTTATTATTGATTTTATATTTAATATTTTTAGATTTAATATTTATTTATATATATAATTTATTTATTTATATCTATTTATTTTTTATACTTATGTTTAGATTATTTTTATATTTGAGATTTTTTTATATTTATGATTTTTTCCTAATTTCATTTTTGTACATTTATTTTTATTGCATATTATTGATTATATTTATATATATATATATATATATATATATATATATATATATATATATATATATATATATATATATATACATATTCTAGATTTATCCTTTATTTCTCATTATTTATTTTATCATATATAAAAAATATTATTTATAAATAATTTTTAAAAAATTATTTATATTTATTTCATGTTTTTTTTCTCCTAATTTTATTCATTTTAATTAATTTTATTGCTCGTTATTGATTTTATATTTATCATTTATACATATTTTTTCAATTATTTTTCATTTATATTTATTTATTGTAATTTTATTTTTTCTATATTTATTTTTATTGCTCATTATTGATTTTATATTTATTATTTATATCTATATTTTTATCTTTTTCATTTATAGTTATTTATTTAGTTTTTCTAAAAAATTGTATTGCTCTATTAATTTAAAAATGTATCATTATCATCAATATAAATATAATCTTTTTTCATTTATATATATTTATTAAATTTTTTTATTCAATTTTTTTATTCATTATCGATTTTATATTTATCATTTATATGTATTTTCGATTTTCTTCATTCACATTTATTTAAATGTTTGTAAAAAATGTTTTTGTTCATTAATTTTACATTTTATCATTTATATTTTTTTTTAAAAAAAAATTTCATTCATATTTGTTATTTTTATTTTCTAATGAATCTTTGTAGATTTATTTTAAATTGCTCATTCTTAATATTATATTTTATCATTTATCTTTATTTCTTTTATTGTCTAATTTAAGAAGGCCGCATGAATGTTGTGTTAAATGAATAAGACAATCTCAGTTTATGTCAATCTATTTTAAATGTCTATGCAATAATCAGCCTGATAAACAAAGCTAGAGAAAAAAATTCCTGCAAAGTTATATAAAAATCAAAATTGTGACGTTGTTCCTCACATGTGTAACTCGCATAAATAGGGTGTGTTATTGTGGCAGGTCTCAACTGACTAGATCTGGTTTGTGTCAAACCCCTGGGTGTGTGTGTGTGTGTGTGTGTGTGTGTGTGTGTGTGTGTGTGTGTGTGTGTGTGTGTGTGTGTGTGTGTGTGTGTGTGTGTGTGTGTGTGTGTGTGTGTGTGTGTGTGTGTGTGTGTGTGTGTGTGTGTGTTCGTTTAACTTTGTGAAGTCATTTACAGCAAATTATACTAACAAACAAATGCGTTCTGACAAGAACCGGTTCTGCTTATATTTAATCCACCTAAAAAAAGAAATGTTTTGATTAAAGCAGATCGTGTTGCAGAAACACAGAAGTACAAAAAGTAATTGACTATTTTGATTTCTAACTTGACCTGGAATTTTGTACATGTTTATATCACTCATTGTGTATAATAATAATTCATTTTGAGGTCATGTTTTGTTTTTAGGAAATTCCATCTTGCCGTGACTCAGTTAAAGCTTAACTATAAGCATACAGAATGAAACTGGCACCTCACTGTAAACCTTGATATTCTGGTTTACGTGCCTGCACAGTCAGACAAAGTTTGTTTTAATTTCAAAACAATCCATTTAAATGTTAGTTAGCACTTAAAAGACTTCACAATCGAATGCAATGTTGCGTTTATTCACCAACGGGTGATCATAAACTACTTCAGTTCCTTGTAATGTTCACGCTCTTTGAACAGCAACAAAATAATAACCACTGTATGGAAGTTTCAGGAAGTTTCAAATGTTAATAGCAGTCACGTTTAACATTGCTGAATACTATTGTTGGATGATTGTATGTGCAGAAGATGTGCAGAGGGCTTGCGTGTTCATTCAGTGTTATCAATCGCATAATTATGCAAATAAGAACAGTAGCGTGCGCTTTACTAATGCACGACATTACCTGAGCATCAAAAAAAATGTAACCAACATGAACACTTGCTATGAAATAGTAGGCAATGGAAGAACTAGTAAGGGTTTATTGAGCTTTTAGGCATTGTATTTTAACAATCTTGAAGAAAAGGTTTGCTTTTTGTTGAGTATCACACTTCAAGTGGGTTGAAAACGCAATTCTGAAGTTTTGTGGAGGGAACTACTTTTTTTTTTATGTTTAATCAACTTCAATTTATAAAAACCATTATGTTACCTTAATCGGTTTGTGTTGGGTTGAAGATTTTTACAGTGTATGTAATACATCAAGCTTTTATGCCATAAAAAACACCTTTTTTGAGGGTGCCATCCATTACATCTTAGCCCACCCTTAAGGCATCTCATACCACCAAACCTGTCTCCAACTTTACCCTTATCCCATTTCAATTGCACCAAAGGTATTGTCCAACACAATATAAACACAATAAGCACATTACACTTATTTTTGGATGTAAGTTTCTAGTAGGAAAGTGGGACCCAAACGTAAACTACCAATTGAATGGCAGAGTGCATGTAGTAGGTTGTGTAAAGTTTTAATCGTGTGTGGAATTCAGAGCCTCAAATATGATAGAGTAGGAATGGCCCGGCATGGGTTAATGATTTCAAATGTGAAAGATAATGTTTGGGGCTAACTCAGAGCCATTTGAGGCATATAATAGAATAAAATGGAAAAACAAGCTATAACCACTACTGCATAACCAACTAAACTGGTGTTCTCGTTCCACTTGACTGCTAAGGGTACAATTTAGTTTGCGGTCTCCACCCTTGAGTTACATATTTGTACACTTTAGTGACCTGAGCTCATTCTTATGCAAATAAAAAGCTCCTAAAGTCATGCAGAACTTTAAGTCTCTGTTGGGTTACCAATACAGCCTTATTAATGGCTTTGATGGTTCTCTGAGGAAGCCTTAAACACCCTATTACATGTATTATTCTTACACTCTTGAAGTCAGTGTGAAATAAAAATTTACAATGTTTATTTTGCTTGCGCACCTCGGTGAACAAATAATCCCTGCATGTTAATCCACTAAAAAAAATGTTTGTTTTGGTAATCTTCAATCAAAGTCTGAGCGTTTACTTTTGCATTTGAAGTGATGGTCATTCTCTGTTGACATCAGTTTGACGATTTCAGCCACAATATTCTTAATCACGGCCTTCTTGCTAATGATTCAAAAAAATACTTTGCCCCCAACTCAATATTCGCTTTCCGTTGGAAGCACATCAACATACAGGAGTAAATTCTGCATCAACCTCCGGTTCACACAGACTTTATAGGTTCCAAAATATATATTTATCGATACTATAGAAGACGTGCTTATCGGTTCTTTAGAAATCTTTGGAGTGACCTGTTCTTTAAATCAGTGGTTCCCAGTTCTAGTCTTTTAAACTGCCCGTCCTGCTCATTTTGTACGTCTTCCTTACTTAACACACCTGATTCAGATCATCGGCTCATTAACAGAAAGCTCATTAACATAAACTGATCCGTTTATTAAATAAGAGAGACATACAGAATGTACAGGGCAAGGAGTCAGAGGACCGAAATTTGGAACCACTAATTTAAAGAACCACTTGTTTCTTAGTCTGAACAACAGTTTTGGATTCTCTTTGGTATCTCATTGTCTTTGATTATTGATTAATATTAACATTGCCTTAAATTATGAGTGTCAGGGCCAGTGTCCTGGAGAATTTAACCCCAACCCTTGTCAAACACACCTGAACCAGCCAATCAAGCTCTTACTAGATATACTAGAAACTTCCTGGCAGGTGTGTTGAAGCAAGTTAGAGCTAAACTCAGCAGGACACTGACCCCACTTAGGACTGAGTTTGGAGACCCCTGCCTTAAATGGTTCATATGCATTACCCACTTTTGGAACCTTTTTTTTACACTATATATTACACTATCAGTTGTACTTCTAATTGATTTTGTATTGCTCCATCTTCCTTCACAGGCATCTCTGCACAGCACTTCCACTTTACTGTTAATCAGCTTCTACACCTCTATAATGGGCGACAGGAGGGAGAAACCACAGAGCAGCAGAAAAGGGTCTAACGCCAAGCCGAAGCTTGAAAGCAAAGGCAGCTTAAACCTGGGATCTTCAGAGCAGCGACAGAGGGCTGACAAGCCTGTCAGGAGAAGCCGGAGCAATGACACGGAGAACCGGCGACGTGAAGGCAGCCGAGGCAGAGAACGGGACCGGAGAGATGAAGGAAGACCACAGCGGGGGCGCAGCGAGGAGGGGCGGAGGCGAGGCCACAACCATGAGCCTGGAAACAGAGCCTGGGACAAAGAGCGTCCCAAAGATGAACTGCAAGACACAGAGTGCATCGTATGCTTCTGCAACTTCGACAACGTCTTCAAAACCCCAAAGTTACTGTCTTGTGGACACACGTTCTGTCTGGAATGTCTGGCTCGGATAAATGTAAACTCTCCGGAGATCAAAACTCTGACTTGTCCGATTTGCAGAGAGGTGACAGAAATCCGACATGGCCGAGACCTGCCACATTTGTTAAATAATGAAGCCATTTTTCGGCAACTTCCAAGTGAAATGCAAAGGGCGCTTTCTGTGCGCTTCAAGCGCAGCAAGGGCAAACTCGTCCTCAAGAATCCTCCAACAAACAACTCCATTAAGACCACTTTAAATCTGCCGGTGTTAAAGAAGAAAGAGGAGCAAGCTGGAAATAATGCTATTGGAGCTATAGAGGAAGGTCTCGGCCAGGCGACTATGATCAACGTGGGAAGGCCTCCAAACAGGATGAGGGGTCGCATGAGGAGGGTAATGTACTCCAGTCAGTGCTATTACGCCGTAGTGGCAGTCATTATCTCCATCACTGTGGCTCTAATGATGGTGGGTATCTTCACCTTTGTGGTGATGCCTAACTTGCAAAGACCAATTACCAAGCCATTACAGAACCAAACTGGAAGCAGTGCGGTTCAAGCTGACTCTTCGCCTTGAGGGATGAGGAAACTCAAAACGCTTGGGTAGGATGACTTGCATAGCAAAACAAGATTCTTGGAAGCTTTTGCATTGTATCCAGCACTGCCCTTTTTGTTTGCTTTTGTCTGAGATGCTTCAGGCGGGCTCGATAGGAATTAACTGGAAAAACTTGAACGTGATGCACACTGTTGTTTGTTGAGCACAGATATATGCAGACAGTTGTTTTAAGAGCAAGAGGGAACAATGCAATGATGACATCTACTCTGACCTACAATGAATTGTATTGTAAAAGTATGAATCAATGGGTATTGTTTTGTTAAGGCTGGAAAATGCTGTACTTTATTCTTATAAACGAACTATATTTTTCATGTACCTGAATGTGCTACTCCACTATGTTTTGCGGTATTAAGATCGAAGGATAAAAATGTGACGCCTCATGAATGCAAAAAAATATGCTTCTAATACTGTATGTAACAACGCAAATGTAAGCTCATAAATGTTCTTTCTCATGTTGGAAAAACATTTAATAGATGCGTATAAGTCTTTGAATTGTGTTGCACATGATGTATTTTCATAGTTTTTTATTCAAATGCACAAACAGAGAAATGTCACAATGAAAAGGGGAAACTAATAAGCATTGTGGTGCATTTTCTGTTTAATTGACTTTGAAGTATAATGCACACAAAAATAAATGTTCTTCCGTGGCTAAAAGGAAAATGATACAACCAGTAAACATCTTGCCTTGTGTCTTTATATAGAGCGATGCATAGCTTGCTTGTGTCACCTTCTAAATCCTTAAATGAAGCTTAAACATACTAAGATCTCATGTGTATCAGTTGTTTACTATCATAAATAAGGGTTAAAACTTGTATAAGTGATATAATTTCATGAACGAAACAAAAAGCCCTGTTGCAGACACAAAACGATGTAATTTAAATGCAAGTAACCTACCTTATAGTTTGAATAACAAACTGAAAGGGGATGAAAATAATTCCAATACATTTTTAGTAAAGAAAGTCTGCTGAAGTTCAAACTGAGAGCCAGAATGAGAAAGAAATGGGTTTTAGGTGAATTTGAATATGATGTGTTTGTTGTTAACAGGCTGGTCCGAGTATTTCAGAAACTACTGATCTACAGTATAAGTTGGATAGGTACAGGCTAGTATTACTGCAGCATTTGTTCAAGAGAGTGTTGCAGTGTGCTTTAGCATTCATAACATGTTGTAAATATAACTACTATAGGCTTATAGTTCACGTTATGGTTCAAAACAGTAGCCTATAGTATTTACTAGCGCTCGAGCTCTTTATTCTCGGGATTTTTGAACAGAAAATAGGCTAAATCGTAAGTATTTATCGTTATATATGAAGACCGTGTTTTATAAATGCCTGACAGATTTGATGAGCTGGTTAACCTGAAAAGTACTTCACAAAAAGTATTGCACATAGTAATGACAGCTTAGGATGCTTTTAAAAATAACTATCTTTCACACCGTGTACACGAGGGGGGCATGTGAGGTGCACGTTATTCCCCACAGCAGGACACTCGAATAACCAACCCCTCGACCTGACGCAAGTTTGTAGCAAGACTCTCCACATGATCAAATTCAGCGCTTCAAAGTCAAAATCGCACGCTGGGGTTTATTCGCCTCTTTAAGCGATACAAACGATTTTATTTGGAGTTGCCGGTGTTTGGAGTCTCGACCGCACATCTGCAATGGCTTCGACGCCCTCCGCTTCAGCCCTGTCAGCTGTTCTCCGCTGTCAGCGCAATCTCCTCACCCGAAAACAGCCGAACAAGAAGCGGCCTCCGGCGGCGGGGTACGGGCTCGGGATTATGGCATACGGAGATTCGCTCAAGGCTTATTTTCGGGGACTCATATTTAACGGGACGCGAGTGGAAATTCCAGGAGTTTTGTCCGCGACGGCGCGACTTTCTCAAACGTCCCGTTGGGGGAAAACTTCGCTGGGAAATAAGAAAGGGGTCAAAAACACCCCGAAGACTGACAGCAAAATGTTAACTGCCAAAGTATCAACGACGAAACATATGTCGGACTATAGTTCTGCCTTTAAATCTCAATCTTACGTTTTACCTCTTCGCCTGGATGGCGTGTTACGAAAACAAAACTTAGATAACAAAACTTATATTACTTGTCGTATTTGTGTAGTTTGCGCTCACAGTATGAGTTTACTAAACCACAATAATATAAACTCGTTGTTTTCACATGGATTGTTGTGTTTTTTGAGGGATACACTGTTATATTTCTCTACTGCTGTGGCAGACAGCGTGCGGACGCAACTGAACCTGAACCAGCTTCATCCGGATGTAAGTTGTCACTAATGTGGGTTAACAAGTTAAAGAGGTCACAGGAATGTAATTCTAGAATACAGAATAGATGACACCTCCACGTTAAAGGGTCTCCGGCTATTTCTGTTAAACTCAAAGTTAACTTTATAGTGTTACGAATACATAAATAGATTACCTGCAAGATCTAGTGGCAAATAGGTGAATTGCACAACTGACCTCAATAAGTTATAATAATAATGTCAATTGATTTATACCGTGCATTGACCTAATAATATATTATGTGAGGGGATTCAATTCAAAATAAACAATAGCATGGTTTTCTTATATAAAATTACTCCCCACGTGAAAAAATAGGCTTCTACAGTAATACCACACAGTGTTTTTGATTCATATGGTAAATTACTTGCATTATATTTTGTGATATACTGATTTGGTATTACAACAACTATATAACAAATACAAATAATATGTAATATATTCATTCATTCATTTTCTTTTCAACTTAGTCCATTTATTAATCTGGGGTCGCCACAGCGGAATGAACCACCAACTTATCCAGGATATGTTTCATGCAGCGGATGACTTTTCCTTTTCACCCGGAAGCAATTATATATAATTTAACTATATATATTGTGCAACAATACACCACAGTTTACTCCAGTAAACAGTTTTATCAGTTCACTAGTGATCACTACAGTGTGCTGTAGCATTCATTAACAAGGTGTTGTAAATACAATACAGTAGGCTGTAAAAAACTTTACTATCTTATAAAAACACTATATTTCTTATGTGTTTTTTCATGTAGTTTACATTTGAATTATGCTGTATTTTATTTACTATAGTATATTCCGTCAGTTCACACATACCAGTGATAGGTAAAGTTACTTTTAAAAATTGTATATTTCAATTGTAGTCACTTTAAAAAAGTAACTAAACATGCTTATTTACTTTTTAAGGAAAGTGTTGTGAAAATGTGTATTGTATTTTTAAAGAGTAAGATAGACTTCAAGTTCAGTTTATTTATATAGCACGTTTCCAACTGAGAAAACACAAACAAGCATGGGTATAAAACAGCAATGGACACAATGTAAAAGAGAGCATGAAAGATGTAAAATAGATTATACAAAACAGTTTGGTTTCAGTGCCTAAAACAAGAAAGTAATAGACCCTTTAAATAATTCCGCCTATTAAAAGATGGTACCACAGTTAACCACACTAAACAGGATTTAAAACAAGAGCTAGAGTCCTTTAATTAGACTTAAAAATGTACAGCGACAAAGCCATTTTTAATCCCAAAGGTGAGGACCGGCTATGGCAAATGCATGTTCACCTCTACTTTTGAGGTGGGCCTTTGGGACTTTTAATAGAAACTGATCAGTAGAACAAAAGTGTGTGGATGAAGTGTAGGCCACAATCAGTTGGGATAAATAATGGGGCCCAGGCCATGTAAGGCTTTATGCACAAAGAGAAGGATTTTAAATTTGATTCTTTGTCTCACCGGTAGCCAATGGAGAGACATCAAAATAGGAGTGACGTGCATGTTTCTGGCTTTTTGTTAAAAATCTAGCTGCTGCGTTTTTTACTGACTGTTGCACTAACTGTAAGATTAAGATAGACTTGTTATTTATTACATTAAACTTTACTATGGAGTCAATCTAGGGCCATATATACTGATAAAATAAAAGATTGTTTTGCAAACAAAAAATAAAGTATTGAGCAAAAAATAAATAAATGCAAATCTCCAAAAATCACAAAGCAAACATTAATTTTTTAAAATTAAAATATATGTAAGGGAAAATTAAGTTTTGAGAAGTAAAAATAAAATTTGCTAACAAAAAAGGACTGCAAATAAAAATCAAGCAATGCAAAAAAAAAGAGAAAATTTTTGCAATTAAAAAAAAAAAAAAAAAATATATATATATATATATATATATATATATATATATATATATATATATATATATATATATATATATATATATATATATATATATATATATATATTAGCAACACATTTTTATAGCATTGCCTTCGTTTTATAGCATTGCCTAAATTTTGTGTGCAAAACTTATTTTTATTTTGCAAGTATATACGGCTCTAGATTGACTCTATACTTTACCCAACGCTGAATACTGCTGTTTGCAAACATCTTTATTAATGATGATGACATTCTAATACTCCTATTTTATTGTTTTGCAGTGTGATGATGAGTCAAGCGGATGCATCAGATGTACCTCTGAACATCTTGAGGATGAGCCTGAGACAGTCAAAGTAGCCAAACCTGAGGAATGAATGTTCTGATAAAGACTTTCTGGATGACATGCAGTTCCGTCATATGCACTAACATTGATGACAAAGACAAGACACCCATTTTGGAGTCTGCATCAAATTACATTTAAAATTAATAGTGTACATTAAATGCAAGTGCCTCCTTTAATGTAGGTTTTAAGTATAGACTTTCAATATGTAGTCAAATGAGTCTTGTTCAAATGATGCCTGACAAGATTTTATTTTTTTTGTAGTGTACACTATTGGTACACTTAATGACATTGTATTTATACACTTTATGATTGATTTGGCAACATTTCGCAGCTAAATGTTCTCTTATAGGGGAAAGGAAGTTTACCAAAGTTGGCTGTTTTTATGTTTAGACAAACCGATAAGAAGTTAAGTGCAGTTAAGTGGAAAGGAAATCAATGCTGCAGTGCATGTGTGACTTTTGGTCTGTAAATAAACAGACCACTTGTGTCTGGCCAAATCACAGAAGTGCTGATATTCATTAAATAGCACTCTTGCTAATTAACAAAAACTGAATCAAAAGGGATTTTTAAAGGATGATTTGAGTTTACAGTAATGTAACAACTTTTAGTGTCTGATATTTTAATTGATTGAATGATTTTGCAATCATGTTTAATATTTCAACTATTCACTGAGCTATTTTTCGTGTGCGATTTAATTAAATAACAGTGGAAGTAAGTGCAGGTAAACTACAGAAAACATTTAGTCTCATAATATGAGATCATAAAAATATACAATTATAAAATATTGCATAGCATGTCCTTTTAAATTTCATATATTAGCATTAAAAAAGTTGGGTTAAAAATAAGCCAACATGAAGCGCAATGGTGGATTGTTTTAACACAGACCTGCTGTTAGTTTATTTCAATTCAATCCATTAAGTGAGTTACAAAAATAACTCGTTTGTTGTTTTTTTTGGCCAAAACATTGCCCTAACTATCCATTATTATTACTTATGGCTATCAAAAGCAGAAATGGAAAATTGCTTGATTGTCATTTTTTTAAGACTACACAATATAAAAATGATTAGGCTATTTTTTGGTTGTCAATATGTGCGTGTGTGTATGTGCATAAAAAAGTCTTGCATATCAGAAACCAACATTAAAAAAATTGTTAGTGTAAAAATAACCCAACAGGTAGCACATTGGTGGGTTGTTTTAACACAGACCTGCTGTTAGTTTATTTGAATTCAATCCATTAAGTGGGTTACAAAAATAACTCATTGTTGGGTTATTTTATCAAAATATTGCCCTAATCATAATCCATTATTATTATTTATGGCTATATTAAATCACCCTAAATGTTTGTTTATTTCTCTATTGAAAGCAGAAATGGAACATTGCTTGATTGTCATTTTTTAAGACTACACAATATAAATATCAATTGGCTATTGTTTGATTGTCAATAAGAATGTACGTGTGTGTATGTGGGTAAAAAAGTCTTCATATCAGAAACCAGCATTAAAAAATAGTTAGTGTAAAAATTCACCCAACAGGTAGCCCAATGGTGGGTTGTTTTAGCACAGACCTGCTGTTTTAAACCAATCCATCAAGTTTTGCCCATTAGGTTTTTTGCAATAAATTGGGTTACAAAAATAACTAATTTGTTGGAGAATCTTGCCTAAATGTTGCCCTGACCATAAACCATTATATTATTAGCTGTCAAATTATCATAATTAATGGTATTTTATGCCAACAAAGATTTTTTAACCCAACTTTAACTGCCCCGCCAAGAAAAAATATTTTGGGTTGACACACTCAATTTATATTTTTAACATTTCATAATTTCTAAAATACCAACGTCTGCCAAATGGTTGATATGTCAATTTATGGCAAAAATACAGGAATTAATACATATAACAAATCTGAAAATATAGTGTAAGACCAATTTATTTAAAAACATAATCAAAATAAAGCATTTTTGAATACTAAATCATCTTTATTTTTTAAGTATGCCATAATATATATATATATATATATATATATATATATATATATATATATATATATATATATATATATATTTTTTTTTTTTAACAATAAAACCAAAATCGTTCAACAAGTAGTAGTAGTAGTTTAACAAGTTTATGTTTGTTGATTTTTTTTTAAACCAACAATGCAGTGTGTGTTAAACATTATTTATGGTCAGTATTTATACATTTAATCTCATTTAAAAGTTATAAGTCAATATATTATATATTTTGACATATATATTTATAAGTCAAAATATGATCAACCGTTTGGTAGAGCAGGCAGTTAAAGTAGGTTATCAAAATGGGCAATTTACTTGATTTACATTTTAAAGACCAGTGACACTCCTCAATTAATATTAATATTTTTGATTGTCTATATGAATGTGTGTTTGTGTGTAAGAAGTATTGCATATCAGAAAACACTGCTTTGGTTTAAAATGCAGTTTCTGAGTGAAACAAGATGACTTTTCATTTTTTAAATGTGATTCTTTTGTAGCAAAGACATCCAAAGTAGGGCCCGCAGGCCAAAGTTGGTCCATGGTAACCTTTGATTTGGCCCACCATCCCATCTGTAAAAAGAGCAGGAGATTGTTTGGGAGGTGGCTGGGGTGAATGTCTTTGACAGAGTTTAATGTAACCTTTTGTTTCTTTGTTTTATTGCTGAGCCACAAAAAAGCCAAATGAAATGAGGGTGGCGAGGTGGCACAATGGGTAGCACTGTTGCCTCACAGCAAGAAGGTCGCTGGTTCGAGCCTCGGCTGAGTCAGTTGGCATTTCTGTTTGCATGTTCTCCCCGTGTTGATAAGGGGTTTCCTGTCCATGTTTCAGTTTCCCACACTAGTCCAAAAACTATATGCGCTATAGGTGAATTAAGTTAAATTGTCAGTAGTGTCTGCGTGTGAATGATAATTTATGGGCTGCAGCTGGAGGGGCATCCACTGCGTAAAACATGCTGGATAAGTTGGTGGTTCATTCCACTGTGGCGAGTCCTGATAAATAAAGGGACTAAGCCAAAAAGCAAATGAATAAATTAAATTAAATGACACAATTAAATACTGTAAATAAATCCGACTGTGCAAATACTGTCACTTGACAAATGCAAAATACATTTGTAAGCAAATCAAAGTAAGATTGACTAGTGTATACAGCATTGAACTTGTGTTATAAATGGGATTGTTTATGCTTTAAGTTCACTATAAAATGTTAAAAATGATACTGCATTGGTGAATGTGATTTAAAACCTCGTTTTCTAGTTATTTTTAAACATTACAGAATCAATTACCCATGGCAAATTTTATATTTACAGTATTTACTCAGCCCACAGCCCTCAGTCATGTCTGCTTTTTGGCCCTTTATAGGAAAAAGTTCGGGCACCTTTTTTCTATAGGGTCACACATATTATGAGTTGTTTATATTGGGAAAAACTCGGTCAAAAACTCTTTAAAACTCAAACTCACAATCTATATATCCAGAAAAGTAAGGCTAATTCAAAGGGGACACAAAACAAGATCACTTTTCTTAAATCATCTGGCAGATGTTTGTCATAGTATTTGTTAAGATAGTATTTGTTTTCTTTTCTTTTATAAATATTGATCAAATGTTAAATTTGGCTTTACATAAAACAAAAAGTAGTTGCCATTGGGATAAAAAGCAAGCCTAATTCAATTAATGGCAGATGTGTTATATCAAGCTTAAACTCACTACATTTTGATGCATAAGACATCTGTGAGCAAATCAAAGTAAGCTTAACTAGTGTATTTTCTAGTTATTTTTAAATATTATCGAATAAATGACCCATGGCAAAATTAATATACAGTATATATTTGGCCCAAAGCCCTCAATCAAGCCTGCATTTGGCCCTTTATATGAAAAAGTTTGGGCACCCCTGTTCTAAAGGGTCACACATATTATGAGTTGTTTATATTGGTAAAACTAGGTCAGAAACTCTCAACTTAAATACCCAAACTCACAATCTATATATCCAGGTGTTTAAAATAGCTGCGCGCCCATTTCAAAACTATAACTTCCCATTCATGTTTAGCACACGGCTTCCCTAAATTGAGGCGGACACCTGTTTTTCACTGTAAGCAGATCCTCACGGCTAATAAATGTCGCGGGATAAGCATAATCACGACGAGTCCTCATAGCCCCTTTTCACCTGAAATCCAATCCACGATGAACACATTGCTAATGCGCATTATGTACACGTATGTCCTCATTAAGGTAAACACACATACAGCTCCTTGTAAGTGACGGGAGAGGCGGGACTTCCTAAAAATGACGCTACCCGGAAGTCAAGTACTCTTACATTCTTGAAGGGTATAAGCGAAGGCAGGAAGTTTACTGCGCTTTAATTGATCGATTATTTAACGTCTAGTCGTCGTAATATTTTAACGACTGACTTGGGCCGGTTGAAATGGGGTATTTTCTGCAAAGCAACGGACGTATGGGTCCACTGACAGAGTAAAGAAGACGGAAAACATGTCAGAGTGTGAGCGCGCGTTGACTCATGTTAGTCAGGTATGTTGACATTATTTTACACAACCTGGTGTAAAATTTTCTGTTCGCATGGGTTACAAACTGATTGGTTTAGTGTGCTAATGTTAGCCAGGTTTGGTTGAAGAAGGGTTGAGGAGCTACAGGTGAGATTATTGATCGACGGAAAAACCTGCTAGATAATGCAATACCATGTTTGCGAATACTGTTGGGACAATATGTCTTTTAAACATCTTGTTTATTCAGTACAGGTATCTAAACATTCTTAATATAAGATCCATTTACCCAAGAGGCTAAATAGTTAAGATATTACGCGTTTTTCCACTTATTTCTTGGAAATATTGATTAAAAATAAATTGGCTTTACGTAAAACAAAATATGGTTACCTGGGGGTAAGAAAAGTAAGCCTAATTCAAAAGGAAAACAAAACCAGATCACTTCTTAATCATCCTACAGATTTGTGTAGTAGTATTAAGCTTAAACTCACTACATTTTGATAAAAACCCGATCTGGTAAGTTTATGTTACAACTGTCTCCATGGAGTGAGCTTAACAACGTTACTTTCTTGTTTGTTTTAGTTAGCATTAGGGCTGCTCGATTTTGGAAAATTCTGATATTGTGATATTTAATTATTCTGTAAATTCTTCTGATATAAATATAGTTTCAGGAGTTTGAATAGCACTATTTGATGGTTTTCTGGGAAATTTAATGGTATTCAGGCACAGAAATTTAAAAATGGCAATGCACAAAATGCTTTTATTACTTCGTTTTGTCTTGTTTCTACTAGGGCTAGATGATACAGCAAAAAAGAAAAAAAAAATGATGACGATATACAGGGTTCAATGCTAAGGATTTTTTTCTACTGGGCCGATCGGGCCAGGTTGAGATTTTTTTCTTAACCTGCCAAAGTTTTCACTGGCTCCACCACAAAAAAAGGTTAATAGCTATTTCTTAGCCACATACTTTAAATAATGTGGCAAAATAATCTGTGTGAATCTAAAATTTAAAGCTTTAAAAAATGTTAATAAATGTATAATGAGCAAAATTCAAGATTTTATGCAAACGAAAGAGCAGTAAAGGTAATGTGCTGGTATTTTATTGCAATTCTAAATTATTTTTATAAAAATGACTTGCCTAACTGACAACAACATTTATTTATTTTTTTCCAGATTCTTAATTTTGTACCCATGTAATTGTCTGCTTCTAAGACTTTAGAAACAGACGTTTTCTTTTAGCCTCATAGTTTGATGTTGCTTCCATGTTGCCATCTTTTTACTTTACTGGTTGTCATCAGGTTATGGAAAAAAAATAACATGCTCATGGTTACTGGTCGATAGGGGACAGTAACTATCCTTTCTACTTTGCCGAGCATCTTTTACTCTTGCCCCGGGCCACCAGGCAGTCCTTATTGTTTAGCCCTGCTATATAATGTTTTATATCATTCGGTACCAATATTTATTGACTTTGTGCTTTAACCAAAGCATTTAGCAATATTAGGGATTTTTATTTATTTAACCACTTTATTTTAATTTACCAACATTACTAAGGGAAATAGTTCTAATAG